AGGAGGAGGAGGAGGAGGAGGAGGAGGAGGAGGAGGAGGAGGAGGAAGAGCCAGTGGGGGAATGCGCCTGGCCTTCCAATGCAGAAGAGGTGGGTAGTGATGTGCTGGGCTTAGCGTGCTCCATGAGCTATGGGCTAGCCACAGGCGACACGGTGTGTACCTGGTTGCTTTCCTCCTCCTCTCTAGAGCGAGAAGCGGCGATATCCGGGAGCGAGATGATGATGGAATGGGAGCAGAGAAAGCAAAGAGGAGTCACAAGGTGGAATTCCTCCCGCTCCCCCTTTCTTTCTTTGTTTCTCAAAGTGCCTTGTGCTAGTCTAGACTATCTTGCAAAGTCTAATCGGACGACTAATTCTTCCTATCTCTGCAACTCCACTGTCACTGAAAATCACAAGTGGCGCCCCAGAAGCAGAAGCAAAGCGTCAGCAGATAGGGAGAGTCTAAAGGAAAGTCAAATGGTCATCAAAGCCCAATCTCTCTCTCTCTCTTTCTCTATCCCCTCACCATTTCTAACCGACACCGACACCGACGCGCCGATGCCGACGCCGAGATTAAAGTAAAAGCGAAGATGTCCGATGCAACTCAGAGGTGAGTCAGTCAGTCAGTCAGTCAGTCAGTCAGGCGAGGGAGTCAGAGTGCAAATGTCGCCAGAGGATGCACAGATTGCGTCCCGGCTTCAGGGCAAGCAAGCCACACGAGGGCAGAAGATGCAGGCACCAGGCACACAGCACACACAGGACACAAGACACAAGCGGAAATGTCGGCAATGCACCACGTCAAGCGAGCCACAAGATGGACCAAACGAATCTCAGAGTTCTCTCTCTTGCTAGCTAAAAGTAGTATCTCAAAGCACATGCTTGGGGGGAATGAGGGGCGGGGAACACGACACTACTAGTAGGTGGTAACAATGAAACACATGGACCCCAGACAAGCCTTTCTCACTTCTCTTCCTTGAAGCACCTCGCCCTCTATTCTGCAGCGGCCGATGGAGCCCCACTCGTCTCGTCTGTTGCTGCCGGTTCCGTGACAGGAGCAGCAGCAGGGGCGGCGCTATCTGCAGAGGGAACAGTGGATGCATCAGCCGTGCCAGGTGCAGCAGCGGCCTCGGTAGCAGTAGTAGCGGCAGGCTCTGCGACCCCCTCGGCACCTTCCACAGCGGATGCAGCTGCAGGGGCGCCATCAGCAGCATCAGTAGCGACTCCGGCGGCTGCACTTCCCTCAAGCGCGGGTGTAGGCTCCACACCCGCGTCCGTATCCACATCCATCGCGTCCCCCTGCACAGCAGCCGTCGTCGACTCTGCAGGCTGAGCACTGCCCTCTTCCTGAAGGGGTTCCGTCTCAACTGCTGCAGGCGCTGGTGGTGCTGGTGCTGATGATGATGATGGTGCAGCAGGCTCTTCCCCTGCTACTTCTGCCTCTGCCACGACTTCATCACCATCACCATCAAGTGCCGCTCTCCTCCCTTCCAGCCAGCCCTCAAACTTTCTCCGCCTCCTCTCCTTGACGGCAGCGCCGCTGGCACTTCCCGCCTGCGTCGACTTTGCCTCGCCCTGTAGTCTGACTCGGGCAAAGGCGTCTTCGGTATCCGAGACGAAGAAGAGTCGGTAAGTGGACAAGCATACCTTGACCTCGAGGCCAGACTCAGTCAGGAACTTGACCTTGCTTGATGCAGGTGAGGCTGGCGAGCCAGTGGAAGAACCCGCAGCTGCTGCTGCAGCGCTAGTGGTAGCGGCAGCGGACGTCTTGCTTGCGACCTCTTCTCCCTTGACGTCATCAGCGCTACCCTCGCCCAGTGCTCCCGGTGTCCCATTAGCCAAGCTTCGGTCAGCCTTGAGGGCATTCGCCACGCTCCTCTTGAGGTAAGGGCCCTTGGCCTCACCCATCAAGCCCTCGGTGGGTGCCCAGAGCGCAAAGCTGGAGATGTAGTAGAGCCACCTCTCTTCACGAGCCTTGTCTGCCTCGCCCTCGGACAGGCCCACACCGACGTAGGGCGGAAGGTCCGCCGAGGGGTCGTCTCGGGACAGCATCTGAATGCCAAGTTTCGAGGAGACAGGCGTCCATCCCACGCGGAACAGGGATTCTTCCTTGCCGACGAGACATTCTGCCGACATTCTCATTGCAATCTGATGGCGGTAGGCCTTTGCCTGTGCATCTCTCTGCTCAGCAGCCGAAGGAGAAGTCGATGCCGCGGGTACTGCGGGGGATTGAGTCCCCCTTGTAGATCGATCCTTGTGCAGCAAGCTCTGCAGCTCGGCGCACTTGGTGTCACTGATGATACTCTGAGCCATCTTGACGAGCCCGCCAAGAACCTTGTCAATGGTGAAGACGACATAGCCCTCGATGCCAAACATGAACCGGATGCACTCTTCGTACATGTTCTGATCGATGCTGTCACCGTCAAAGAGCTTCTCAATGAGATCCAGCAGGGCAGGATAGTACTTGGAGGGGTGCAGCTCCCATCCGGATATCGGCGCCGAGGGGAGTTGAGGTGCTCCATTGGTCGTAGCGCCATTGGTATGAGGCTGCTCCTCATCGCTAGCAGTCGCCGCGCCTCCAACAACGGCTCCCACTCCTCCCCATCGATCTTGAAGACCCAGACGAAGAGCAGCAGGGTTTCCTCGGATGACCGTCGACTTCTGACCCCGTGCCTTGCGTTGCTGATTCTTCTCGTCGAGCTCGCGACCCAGCTCGGCAGAGAGACGCTTCATCTTGCCCAGGCGAGAGTAAGCCAGCTGGAAGAGGCGCAGGTAGGCATAGTGCGACGTTGTGCAGAAGAAGTTCAACGTCTTAGGGGTTGCAGCGCTTGAAGAGGAAGAGGCGTCTGCTGCCGAAGAGGCGGAGGCAGTGCCGTTGGCAGCACCTCCCGCTCTTCCATTGACAGAATCGAATGCCTCTTTTGTGTCGGCACGAATCCATGTCTGCTCCATTGTTGAAAGTGTGCTGCTGGACTCTTTGGCCATCTCAACGGCAGCGTCACCCTCACCGACTTGACCTCTCAAGACCTTCATGCGCAGATCATCATTGCGACGAGCCTTGTGAGCGTCGCTAGCTTCTCCGCCCTCTTCGTCGTCATCGCCTACCACTGGGTCGAGACCCATCTCATCCTCCCATTGCTTTGCATCTTCGCCGAAGAGCAAAGGCAGGAAGGAGCGAAGGAAGACTTCGATGCGGTCAATGTCTCCTCGGGAGTACGAAGGGCCGCGGTCGAGATGAGAGAGGGCCAACTTGATGACATCGTACACGAGGGCGCGATCCGAAAAGTCGTACTCGAGATGCCAAGGCCCTGCCGAAGGAAGGTCATTAGAGTCGCCAGTACCCTTGACGTTGCTGCCGCTGTCGGTACCAAGCAGACTGCGGGGCGCGCCGAGCTCCTTCATATATCGGCGGGACACGTCTTCTGCTCTGCGCAGCTCAATCTCTCCGACGAGGCCACGGGTGGTCATTGCCTTCTTGTCCAAGGTCTTCCAAGTAACTCCACGGTGGTCAAGAGACTTCCACCAGTTGCGCTCATCGACGACTCGCCAGACCTTGTTCCATTCCCTCTGTGCTCGTTTCCACTCCTCGTCCTTCTGGCGCAGACGAGCCAAAACGACTGGAATTGAAGTAGAGGGTGAGTCGTGCAGGGCAGCAACAATCTCGGCTCCAGCGTCCCTGCCGTAGATCTTGCGAAGCACCCTCTGGTAGATGGAGCGAGACTGACCTCCAAGTCCTGGCTTCAGGCGGAAGTTCGCTCGCTCAGACTCGTCCATCGCGGCGATTCGCGCGGCAATGGGCTCGAGGAGTGCAATCGTGCGCAGATTGGCCTCGATGTGGTAGTCGTACTCGTGTCGCTCCTCCTCGGATCGGTAGAGGGCGTCCTCGTAGATGTTCTTCTTGTGAGGGTTGAATCCTTCTCCCTCGGACGCCCAAGTCGGATGGCAGACCCACTCATCGTTGAGGACCTCCCAGCACATGTCGTCCCTTCCAGAGCAAGATAGGCTGACCTCCTCTTTAGGCAGGCGGCGATAGCTAGCGCCGTACAATTCGCACGTGCTGAGATCAATCCGTGGTCGCTCCAGAGCCGGGGTGTTTTCAATGACTGCCTCTTCCTCTTCAAGCCAGCCATGTCGGCCCATTTCGTACCCGCACAAGCTCTTGAAGGTAGCAAAGAGATCGCGGTGACCTCCGATGAAAGCGGCTGCCTTGTCCACGAGTGTGCGGACGTCGATGACGTCCTGGGTGTATAGATTCAACAGCTTGAGGAAGTCGAGGTAGGCGTTGCGGTCGTCGATGTGCTTCTTCACCCTGTCGAAGAAGGCCACCTCATCAAGTGTGGCCAAAGGGGCGTAGGCGGGACCAAGAGGAATGCCGGCAGAGACCATGTTGGAGGGCACGAGACCAGCAGCGGCATTGGCGGCGGCGGCGGCTGCAGCTTCCACCGGGATCATTCCATCTGGCGTTCCATATGCTGCACTGAGCTGCTGGATGGCAGCAGGAGGTAGACCGTAGGCAGCAGCGACCTGGTCGATGGGGATCATGGCGGTGTGGGGAGGAGGGGATCGCTCCGGCTGAGTCTGCGCCTTGTGTCCATGCTTCGGCTTCTTTGCCCGGCCGCTCTGTTGCGCTGGTGGACCATTCTTGGAGGAAGAAGAGGCAGCTGGCACATCTTGCGCGGCCCTCTTCTTAGCCCTCGACGAAGAAGCGGCGGGCTGTGCGGGCGGTTTGCTGCCACCTTGGACATTGGGTCCTCGACCTACGGCTTGACTCTGCGTGGCCTGACCGAGGGCATAGATCCCACCTCCACCTAACATCGCGGAAGGAGCGCTGACAGGCGAGGGCGGCTGATCCGCAGACGTGTCAGGCAGGAATTGTTTGAACTCGTCGAGGAGATCGGGCGCTCCATCGAACAAGATGGTCACTTGGGCATACACCTGGTGTGAAGGGAGGAGAAAAGAGCAGGTGATTCGATTAGCCTTGCGCCCCACCACTAGTCATGTCTGACCACATACTCACGTCCTGGATGGCCCGCCCCTCCTTCTGATACGTCTGCAGAATCTCCAAGAATTGCTTGTACGTCTCTGGATCATTGCTGAAGCGCTGTTTGATCTTGTTGACATAGTTGATGGCGTGATTGAATTCGAGTGGAGTACGAGCATTGCCAGCGGCATCGGCTCCGGGACCGCCAGGCCCTAGAGGCTGGCGTGAAGGGTCGTCCATGTGGGGTGGCAGTCCAGCAGACTGGGACAAGACGCCAGCTCCAGCTGCTGCACCTGGCGTTGCAGGCGAGGGAGCTGTGATGCCGCCTGCAATTCCAGGAATCGAGGGTCGATGCGGAGAGCCAGGCCGAATCCCCGAAGGTCCCATGGCGGAAGGGGCTGGCTGAGAGGGAAGGCGAGGCGCCTGAGCGGCAATGTTGGCGGCTACGCCGCTACTACCTCCAGAGATGGAGGTGCGTTCCGTCTTGGGTGGAGCTGGGCCTGCTAGACCTGCTGCTCCGGCTCCACTGTTAGGCGAAGCTGACGAGGCAGCTTGAGCAGCTCCTTGTCGTACGGCTCCTGCGATACCCTTTGCTCCTTCTTTTTGCGTTGTGGTACCACTGGGAGTCGTGACTGTGATGAGATTGGACTCGGAAGGGTCCATGGAGCATTCTATCCTGTATCCTGGGGGCAGGAAGGTGTTGAAGCCTTGAATCAAGGATGGATGACCTCGGAAGAGTGTTGAGACGCGCTCAATGACTCCGGGCGTGTCGATGGATTGTGACTTGAACTGGTAGCAGCAAAGAGCGGGACATGCCACATGAAAGGAAACGGAGTCAGTGCCATTGACCGAGATGAGGTAGTCTCTGTGGTAGATGGGCTCTACTGCCCGCCCGTCCACTCACGTCTTTCATGATGTCTAGGAAGCGATTGTATACGTCAGGCTGCTCTGCAAATTGCAGCTTGACCTGGTCCAGATAGGACAGAGCATCCTTGACATTGAGGCTTGCCTGCGGTCGGGTGGTTCATGCGAGGTGGCAGAGGCGAAGAGGCGAGTGAGAGTATAGGTGAGCTTCTGCATCCAAGTAGTGGCATCCACGCTGCGCGGCGCCTGCCAGCCAGACTCTCATTACTCACCATGATGGGCAGCCACGCAGCTCTCTCTCAAGGAGACACGAGGCGACACGAGAAGGTAGTGGAGTGAGCTCGCTAGCAATGCCTCTACTTTGGCGTCGTATCCCCGAGGACAAGACAAGGGAAGGAGGAAGGAGGGCAGTGCACGAAGGCAACGGCGGCCGGTGCAAGAGTAGGTAGCAGCACGTAGGAACGCGCGCCTCGCCAGTGAAGGGAGCGAGTCTAGGCAGAGAGGAGTGGGAGAGAGGCAAGGTGTGGAGGAGTCAAGCTGAGCCAAGGCAGCCAAGGAAGGTGATGGTTGGTACCGAGGAAGGGGGGAAGACGACGTCGACGGGAAGCGGCGAGGAAGGAGCAGCAAAGCAGAGGAACGGGAGCAGGGGCGGCGCACGGGAGCACCACACACGCTGCCGCGCAAGGGCCTCCCGTCCCTCCAGTCCGTTCGCGCGAGGCCAGACGCAGGAGCCAGCTCGCTTCCGCCCTGCCAAGGGAGACACACCACACACGGACCAGAGGAGCAGATGGTAGACCAGAGACGTGCTAGTCTACCCAGGAACAGCAGGGTGAATCTATTCCATTCCAATTCATATCCAAGATGACAATGGTAACAAGCACAGTATCGCGTCCACATCTCCCTCTCACTTTCGCTTATCCCAACTCTTGCTCAGACTCCTCGCAGCCGCACCATCCAGATCCTTTGCAGGGGATGTCGCAGCGCCAGCCGGGATAGCCTGAGCTTTCGTCGAAGAAGACGCCAGGCCGCTCGTGACCCCACTGCTGCCAGCTTCTCCCTCGTTGCTTCTCAGCGAGGCAACAGAAGCGCTATCACCCCCATCGCCTTCCACATCATACTCGTCATCCGTGTACGCATCGTCTGAATCTGCATCCGCCTCCTGCGCACGCGGGGCATAATCACGTCCCATGGCACCCTTTGCCGCACTCTGCTCGTCCAATCGAGGACCACGAGCCGCATACCCTCCCCGATCCGGTACGAGAAAGGCCTGGATACGGCCCACGACGGAATTCTCCCGTGATTGCTCACCCGTAAAGGCGTGCAGAGGATCGAGAACAGCAGCAGTGGCTGCTGCAATGCCCGAGTGGGGTCGATAGAGATCCGCACCTTCTTCCTGGGGCGCGTCCGCCTCGAGCCCCTCGCCAGCAGTGGTCTGTCTCTGGAAGTCAAAGTGGTCCGAGTGAGTCCACTTGCGACGCCACTTTTGCAGCTTGACACTGAAGCCAGACTCTTGCGGCTCTTCCTCGTCCTCGGAGCTGCCCTTGGGAATGTGGTACGGCAGCGGCGTGTCGCGTAGAGCGCGGTATTGGTCCACATTGCCCTGGTGCTCGTTGCCCACACGGAAGAAGTTCCATTGAAACCTTCGCAACACCTCCAGTAGCGCCAAGAGGAAACTGCGCAATAGAGTTGAACCCGGGCCTGGCAGAAGGTATACGATCCAAGTGAATCGCAGGACGATGTCCGAGACAATCGCAAAGTAGTACATTGGCCAGACCTCTTCAAAGACCAGTTCGTTACGCAAAAGCGGATAACGAGCATTGGGATGGAAAAAGGACCAATCCATCAGGATGTCCCACGTGCCTGAGAAGATCGAGTAGATGCAGGCAAAGGGGATCCAAGCGGCAAGCGCGCCATCTATGCCAGAGCCAGACCTGCGCCAGTTGATATATGTGTAGTAGTAGGGTATGGCGCTTGCATATTTGGTGGCATTGAGCAGATGGATGCGTGCGGAAAAGCCCGAGTCGCGCCATCGACGAATGCATTGACCAAATCGGAGCATAGCTGGGACACAGAGCAGGAATGCGGTCCAGTAGGTGCCGTTAGGTTGGCACTCGGGAAGTTTGAAGTCGCGTTGGTACTCGCAGCCGACGAACCAGAGGGTAGAAATGGACCAAGCAATCGAATTGAGCTCGTCTCCGAGAAAGAAGTCCCTGAACTCGACGCCACCTTTCACCAAGAAGCCGGCTCCGAAGACGCGTAGTACCGAGAGATTGAACCACGCTCTTGACCGAGGATGGAAGAAGGGCAGAGGGTTGAAAAAGAAGACGAAGACGACTACGAGCCAGACTAGTGGCCATGTTGTAGGGGCGATGGCTGTCGGAAAAGGATTGAGGAAGCTGACCCAGAATGCTAGAGAAAGAAGGAGAAGCAGAAAGGACGGCATCTCAAAGTATTGATGATAGTCGAGCGAGGTTCGGGCATCCCATTCGAAGATGAAGGCGGTGTTGATCCTTCCGTACGAGAAGGCGGCCAGGTTGAGACCAAAGAGGACTGCAAAGAGTATGGGCAGGAACAGAGCTCCGTAGATGCGGACCAGCGCTGACCACGATGGTATGCTGGCCTGGGTTTCGGGCTGCATCATTTGCACAAGGCCGGCGACGGTGGCACAAACGCTGACGCCCAGGAAGAAGCCTGTCCGAGAGGCGGATGCGTGATGAGTGGACAAGCCATTTTTTGCGGTCCCTTGCATCCTGAGGCGATCCAAGGCCCGTTTGCGATCGCCGTGCTCGAAAAAGCCGGTAAAGGCATCCTCTGTACTCTTCAGCAAGGCTTCGATTCGCTGGGACTGCACCAGGATAGAAGGCTCGATCTTGGATCGGAAATAGAGAATGGACGAGCTCGTCTCGAGAGTCTTGTCGAACTTCTTGAGGATCTTGCCAAAGCCGTCCTTGTTGAGTACCTTGTAGCTCCGGATGAGCTCCAGGCCGCGGTAGAATTCTGCCATGGCTTCCTTGAGCTTATGGCGAGCAGCCTTGTACCTCTCGGGATCGAGAGTATGATCGCGACCAGCATGGTGCCGTTGGTGTTGTCGGACTTCTGCCGGCGCTGAAGGCGTCTCGCCCTGTTGATCTGTCCCTTCTGCGCCTTCCGAGGCAGCTAGACGTTCCATACGATCCAATGCTTTGCTGCGTCGTCTTGCGCCATCGTCATCCACAGAAGAGACTCCATTACGGTCAGCAACGGCAGTAGCATGACTGTCCGTCTGACTATGTGATTTGATATCAGGCCGACTATGTCGTTCCTCCGCTTGTGCGCTCGAGAGCCCCTTTTTGTTCTTGCCAAAGGGCAGAGGGCTGCTGATCCCCTCGTTGACAAATGGAATAGACTGTGTCCATCGGGTCCGATCTGACGTCGGCAGTTGACTCCCGGCCTCCTTGAAGCGGCGACGATGCTCTGCGAGCTCGCGGAGCTGGAAGATGAGCTCGTCGAACTTGACTTGGGCCTCAGCGAGCCTGTCCTCGTAGAAGTCGCTGATCCTCTCGAGCTCGGAATCGAGGGTGAGGAAGAATGTCTTCTCGGCCGGATCAAAGAAGTGGGACAAGTATTCATCTAGGCGCTTTGGTGGCTGCTTCTTGGCCTTCTTTGACTTGTTACCGGTGGGTGAATCGCTCTTGGCAGGCTTTGGCTTACCCTCAGGAACGTTTCCACCGCCTGTCGTATCGCTCCTTTTGGAAGGGGACGAAGAGCTTTCCATCTCTTGTTCTACTATGTCTCGTTCCGGCATGTGGTCCTCTGTCCCGCTACTGTGCGGATCGGTGCCTTCCCCTCTTCGGGCTTGCCCCGACTCTACATCGCCTCCCCTGGTGTCAGCGTCGGCAACTACTCCTGTCGTCCTAGTGTTGCCGCCTTTCTTGCCTGCACTGAGACGATCCTTGACTGCTTGCGATATCTTCAAGCCAGTTCCATCTAGGAGCACTGGTCTGAGCTCATGAGGGGGCGGAGGACTGGCAGCCAAGTCCTCTGATCGGCCAGTTGCTCCGTAGCCGCCAGAGGTACCTGTCTGTGCAGCTTTGACCCTCTCGCGAAGCTCAGTGAGGGTTTCTTGCTGCTTTCGCGAGGCATTGGCACGCGGAGGGCCGAGGGAGAGGCGATCGGAATTGGGACTATCCAACGATGCGAGGACGAGGAGGCGTTGCCTGTGATGCTCCTCTACTCTTTTGATGAGCTTCTTGAGCCCCTTGTAATTGATGTAAGCCTTCCTCCATTCTTCCACCGCATTGCGGTCGAGGTACTGGGCGCTAAGGGGTCGAGAGGTCATAGAGGCATAAGTTCAGGGTGGATGCCATGCTGCAGATACTCGACGGTCGTACTCACAACTTCATGTCCGTCGTCCCTCAGCGGGAAAGAGATCTGCCGATGCACTACGATGACATGAGGACCACCAAAGGAAGGAAGGAATGTGCCAAGGAAAGAGAAAGGGAGAGAGAGGACTCGAGAGGTGGATCGATAGGGCAAGGAGGAAGGAGGAGGTCAGGTAGAGGAACGGCGGGCGGGAATGATTGAGATGGGCGATTTTCAGCTCTGATGCAGGGTCCAGAGCCTATATTCCCGCCAAGAGATCGTTGCACCTTGGCTCGCCAAGCCCCGCGGCAGGACGATGTGCAAGGGATGATCCTGCGACGGCAGAGATATGTCCAATGCTCAGCTACGGTACTCGAACTTGTCCTCGAGCTCAACGAGGCCTCTCCTCGGCGTCGTCAGGGCAGTGCGGGGCGGGTAGGATGTGCGGTGCGGTGCGGAGAGGGAGCGGATAGCCGAGAGCACGAGCGTCAGTGTACATCTCTGCTGCTTTCAGAGGTGCGTCGGAACGGAAGGAGCGTCGCGCGTTGCAGTCCACTTTTGCGAATCTCTGCCCCTCGTCGCCTTTCCTTTGTCCCCCACACGGTAGCATCATCCAGCATACCCGTACCCCCTCCACACTTGATCAAGCAGAGATGCCAAAGGTAGGTCAGGTGGTGATGTGGGACAGAGCATAACGCTTTCTGGCTACACTCTCAGGCAGTCCCTTCGACCAAGTCAGCTGACACGATGCTCGCAACCTTCCAATCTTCACCTCGGACCTTTCTGTCTCGTTCCGCCACTCGCCTCTGCAACCGACCTTCTTCATCGGATTTGGACTGCATCGGCAATCATAGAACAAAGGCAAAGGTGGAAAGAACCGCAGGAGAGGAAAGAACGAGAACGAGTCGGAGAAGAGGGAGCTCATCTTCAAAGAGGAGGGTCAAGGTGAGTCCCAGAATCTGATGTAGTGGAGAAGGCGCAAGGCGCGGTCCAGCTGCGTAGAGGCAGGCCGCCTGGGAAGACCCAAAGACCCGTTAAGACTGACAAGAGATACTTCTGATACATGTCCCGACCTCGCGATGGCTCAGAATACGCCCAGGTGCTGCGAATGCTGGGTAATGGAAGGTTAGAGGCTCAGTGCTTTGACGGAGAAAAGCGGTTGGGTGAGCAAAGGAAGGGATAGCAGCAGGTCGTGCATAGGAGAGCATTCACTGATCATTGACTGCGATCGAACGATACCTTGCTCTGGCTCTCAGCTCTCATCCGTGGAAAGATGAGGAAGAAGGTGAGGCGGGCAGCGGAGAGGAGGCGGGGGTCAGACTAGCGACTGGCGCAGAGAGCTTACTAGACTCTGCTCTTCTCTCTCTCTTTTTGCAGGTGTGGATCAACACTGGAGACATCATTCTGCTATCACTGAGGGACTTCCAAGATGAGAAGGCAGACGTGATTCAAAAGTACACTCCGGACGAAGCGCGAGACTTGATCAAGCACGGCGAGATCCCAGCAACAGCAAAGATCAACGAGGCCGACGCAGGAGACGATGAGGGCGGAGAGGTGCAGTTCGAGGAGGACTCGGGAGAGGAGGACGACGAGGATCTCGATGACCTCTAGAGACTGCGCGAGAAGTGGAGGCAGAGGAGACAGGGCAGAGAAAGGCGTGCAGCCTGGAGTCGATGCTAGAACGCGTCGACTCGCTGCAGACGACGAGGAGTGGGGGACACATTGTTCGGCTCCTGTTTGGGCTTCGGCTGTGTTACACGGCGGCAACAACACCTCCAGCATGCTCGCTGTTGGGGTCACGGTCTTCCCTCATTGGGTTGACGCCACAAAAGTGTATTTCCTTCAAGCCATCTAGATGACATCGACTCATGCACACGAGATCCAGACGTCTGAATCGTACACGATCGAAGAGCAAGAGTTGGCAAGGCTACCGATTGATCGCCAGAGGGTTTGGCTTTAGGGACAAGTTATGACCAGGACAATGGGTAGGCTCAGATTTAGACTCTGCGTCAGTGGCGTTCATTGTTTGCGCCACTACGCTGGCAAGAAGAGTGATCGAAGGGGTCCCTGCGTCGAGGGTGAACGATCGTAGGGGACCCTGCGTTTTGTGGAAGCTCGAAGATGAGATGAGAAGTGATCGAGGCCCTGAAGCTATGAGGGCGCAGACGCCTCGCCATTGCGGTGATGCAACGTTCTAACACCCACTGATCTCAAACTATCGTCCAGATGCCGTAGCTGCACAGCATGTGTGTCTCTCGGAAGCAGAGCAAGTAATGGTAAAAAGGGGATCCGAGGGTCAGACACGAACGCGTTGCAGAGGTGGGCAAGAAAAGGACGACTGCGAGTACATTTTAGACTCGTTGCCGAGTTGGCTAGGCCCACGTCGACTTCGTTCCAACGAGGTGCGTGCGTCGCCGATTACAGTGTATCGTGCGTGGATAAAGACGATATCCGGCTTATGACGATGAAAGAAGGGGAGCGTGCGTACATGCATTTCCTGGACAACCGAGTTGGTAGTGGGATTCGAGAAGAGGAGTGTATACACGGGTACGACTGTGGCTGAAGAAGGGGAGCGTGCGTTGGTTTCGAAAATAACATCTGGGAATTGGGTGAAAGAGTGTCATTTCCAAATTGAAGAGGAGTTTGAGTCACTGATAGTCTGGTTGGAGGAGAATAGCCCGCCAGCAGTACTTGAATTCGACGAGATCAAGATTGGGGCTCCTATTAAGGCTCCTATTAAGGCTCCTCTTTGAATTCGAGGGGCCCAAGCGGGTGGGTTCCATTCACCGTCAAGAGCACCATCGCGCTGGTCAGGCGATTCAGGATTAATCACGTAAGCAATGACCCGTACTGTTACCCCAAGATCGGAGCGCAGAATCGGTAGAGTGGTCAACGTCACGCGTTTGACGCGAAACCCTGGACAGGGTTTGGTGTGGCGTCGATGGTATGCTACTTTGGCCGCGTAAAGCGAGTGCGATACGCGCCGGCTACTAAAGTTCATGATAGTGCTGCAAGGAAGACGTATGCGTGCCGATAGTAAAGTTCACGATAGAATCGGTAGGTTCAACTGGAGCCGTCCCGATTTCTAGGCACAGGGAATTGTAGTGGGTGCAGTCACTTCGTCTTGCCAAGTATGGCATGGCACCACTGATGATGACATCGCACCGTCAAAGGTTATCTCAAACTTTGCACTTGGCGTGGCTGTCGACGCACAGGAAGGAAAAGACAGAAGAAATACGTTTTGAACGACTCCTGGATCCAGACGCGTCGACCGCCGGGCCTTGGGCAAGCGATGAGGAGTACGCGTGGGAAATCCCCACTTTGACAGACTCGGTCGCGTCTTGATACGACCTCGCTTGGCCCTTAGGGCCGCAAAGTCTCCCTCATTCCATTACCTGGCAGCCCGCTTAACGAGACACCGAGGCTCTATTCCTCGCCTGGCTGGCTTACCCCTCACTCCAAGGACAAATTAGAGGGAGGTGCACGGACGGTACCCGAGCCTCGCTTCGCCTGACTTGCCTGCACGGGGGGGAGATTGCACGTCGTTCGTCGTCGTTGCTGGAACCTTAAGTGACAGAACTCAGCTCGGCAAACATGCCCCGTGGTAGTCCGACGCGGAAGGGGGCAAAGGGCCGCGCCAGTCGCAATGTGAGCCACGAGGGAAGTCTTCGGGTTCCCAGCGTACGGAAACCTGGGAGTGGGCGCCCTCGAGTCTTTTAAGTAAGCGTGAGGGTCTCACAAGGTTCGAAGAGGGGTGGGGAGGGTGAGGCCTGGAAAAGATTGATTGGGTTGCCGTAGAGGTCCCAGCGGTGTGCAGCCGGTCCCCAGGGCAGGGGTACCGTGGGTGGCACGAGTGTGTAATTTCGCACGACCAAGGAATCTAGATTTGTATCGGGGGGCGTGCGGCTTCACGATGAAGTGATCCTGACTTGGCGGGCCCATTCAACGCGTCGCTTCCCGTGCGCGACAAAGTTCAGTACCCACGACGAGCGCACGCAATAGTGGACATTTTGGAGTTGAGTATCGTTGCAATATGTGGTGATCCTGCAAGTTTGACATCTGTGGAATGCGGGTCCTCGACATGACGACGACGACGCGGGGCAATTGATGCCGAGATAGCTGGTGACGGGTCAACTAGAAGAGAGCTGCAGAGCTGCACGATGGTCAGGTACGTCAAGGTGTGCGTGTGTGTGCGTGTGTGTGGCTCGGGGCAGGAGCAGCAGGAGCAGAGGTGGGGGGAGGAGGGCCGGAAGATCTGTACGAAGCTCGGAACGTCGGCCGAGTTGGCCATCAACATCTTGGTGTGCAACCTTCCTCTGGCAAGATGCCTAGCTTGGGAGTGTGGGTGGGTTTCGGCTGGCGCGCAGCCGGATCGAAGATCGGTTCTGCACGCTCGGATCCCTGAAGGAGCGGAGAGGATTCCATCAAAGCCCGACAAAGTAAGGTTCAGCACCGATGGGGCTCCTGGCAGCACAGATGCACGCTCACCCGCACCGGCTGGCACTCGCTCCTCTTCCCGTCCCGCGTCTCCCCACACACACGCAGCGTGGGTGTGGGTGCTGTGCGGCCGGGCGCTTCTGTGGACCTCGCATACACGGCGACGAGCTTGGCCGAAGAAGTAGAGTGGTGACTGGGTAGAGGGGGAGGTCAACCAGCTTTGCATATACATAGACGGTCATCCAGGAGCAATGTCATGCCAGCTTCCGGTACACATCGTCCTTTTCCTCGGCAGCCAGTCAACCCTCCTTTCCCCCACGTCACCCGCCTTGCTCTCCACGTCACTCGCTTGCATCGACGCCCATAAGCCCTAGAGCCAACAACCACGATCACCCATTGCCACCTCACGCTCATCCCCACATTCACCTTCATTGTCGTCGTCGTCATCGCCAGCATCAGCATCAGCACCACTCTTTCCACACTGTCCATACTCTCTTCTCCTCACCACTGCCAATCACAAGATGTTTGCCTCCACAAGTTCAATGCTGCAAAGTCCAAGGCCGAACCGCCGGTGCCGCGAGGCAGCCGTGTGTATCAGCGTCGAGACACTCAGCCCCCTCGCACCTGGTCAATTCCATCGCGAGGACCTCTCCTCGGCCTTTGAGCCATCAAAGCCCAGCATGTACACACTCTCTAGCTTCAGCACATCAGACACCGACTCTACCTGGCCACTCACTCCGCCACTCGGCGAAGCAGGAGTGCAGCGCAGCGATGACGAAGACACCGACGAGGATTACGGCGTCGGATGCTCCTGGGCAGACTATGGTCTACCAAAGTCCCTCCACCGCACTTCGAGCAACGACTCTTTCCAATGCCGCGGCCTTGGCATGTTCAACATTCAGTTCGACGACAACAGGTCCTCTACCCTAGAGGCAGCAGCAACAGCTTCCACGGCGATGAAAGCCCCTACTTCTACACTGGCTCACTCCACCTTTGCCCAGGCCGTGGATGGACTTTCGTCGCCCATTGCCTTCTCGAACCACAAGTCCGACTCGGCCGCTACCACCAACACAAAGCGACGAAGGAGCACACTCTCCCGACTGAGGGGTCTCTCTACCTCTACCGGCAACGATGAGGACAAGGAGAATGCTTCACCTACCTATGAGGAGTTTGTCCAGCCCGGCAGCGCTGCCCGCAGGATGAGCAACTTCACCAACGAAGCCAGTCCTACCAAGAGGCGTCCCACTACTCCTGTACGACCACCAAGGCCAGAGACACTAGTGTGGAACAGCAACTTTGCCGTCACCTTTCCTACCAGTCGTCGGTCGAGTGTTCAACACAATTTCCAGGAGGACATTGGTGAGGAGAGTGACGAGCACTCATACGAACCTCGCGAGGCACAAGATGCCATCTCACCCTTGTCGAGCATCACCGGTGCACCTCGTCTCTCATGGCTCTCCAACCTTCGGAATCGTCATGCTTTCCCCCTCGATTTAACCTTTGCCATCAACACCTTTTCACCACGGGGCCAAGCAGGCAGGGATACCTCTCGTCTACCCCGCACCCTAGCTGTGCACCGCAACGACACCATCTCCAGCATCAAGCAACGTCTCTCTGCAGCTCTCAAGACTGCCGGACTACCCACTTCAGCCGATGACCTCATCGTCAGTCTTCGCAGCAGTGAAGTCGCTCCTCAAGTCTCGCCACGCATCCGTATGAATAGCATCGTCGACTACGACGCCGCTGCTACACCTCCAGCACAGATGGGCTTTGCTGCACGCAAGGGATCCGCACCCCTGCCGTCGCCATCGTACACTACGCTCCTCTGGGCAGCAGCAGCAAGGAGAAGAGCCTCGGCTACACCGGCCATGACCTTCTGCTCCTCAACGTCCCCCAAGAAGTCAAAGGTGACCACCCCCAGCACGCCTTTGGATGGCAACTTGCTCAGCATCGACAATGATGCAGCGGCTCTCACTGCTCGCTGGCGCGAGCTGGACGACGATGAGGCTACTTTGGATCAGGTGGGTGTGACACCCAGCGACCAACTCGTCGTCGCCCTTCGTCGCGCCCACTATGTCCACTTCTAGACCTAGATTGCATAGACTGTCGCCCCGCTCTTCTTCATTACCGTCCTTTTACCGTCGCCACCATCACCCACACACACACTCTTCTCACGAGCTCTTCAGCGCCCGTCCCTCCTTTGTCTCGCCTCGCCTCGCCTCGTCTTTCAGTCTCGTGCTTCGTCGTCACCTTAGCCAGTACCCTCGCTCTCGCTCTTGCCTCTCCTCTCCATCTTTTCTCGTCAAGGGCAATCGTACCCTTTGTAGCATACAAACCCTTTCTCAGCGACAAGCTCGATCGATCGTCTGACGTCTGTGCTCTGCTTCACCATAACCTCGATCGGCGCCAACTGGCGCAACCTGCTCAAGTGCTGAAGTGCTGCAGTGCGGGCCAGCCTACTCTAGACGCTAGTCTGCCCTGTGTGATCGTGCTCGTTGATTCAAAATTTTGTGATGGCAAGGGGTCAAGTGATGGGGAGGGGGGTGGGAAAGATCAAAGTCTGAGCATTCCAACCAAAAGGGGGGAGCAAAGGAAAGAGCAGGACCAGCGTAGCACCCAGGCGCGTCGCCTGTGTAGTCCTGCCTGTTCCCCTCCCACATCCCAAAGGTAGATGAGCAGAGGATTCCTTCTCCTGCCTCCCCGAACCAGCTAGACCGAGATTCGTATACAGTGTGCCCCGCCAGCCTCTCTACGTCCCTCACTCGTCTGGGATTTAGTCGAGCTTCTCGACGTCTGCCTCCTCACCGTCCTTCTTCTCGTCGGCCTCGTCGAAGTTGGTTGGCTGGGGAGGAAGGAGGAGGGGGGAGGGGGGGCAGTAGAACGGAAGAGGATGAGCAATCGGCGGCCACTTGTGCGTACCCTCTTCCCTCGCTGCTTGTCTCATTACTCACCACGTCCGGAACCTCATCGTCACCCTCTGCACCACCAGCACCACCCTGTGCTCCCATGTTGGCAGCGTTCATGGCCTGGTAGCTCTCTGCCAGCTTTCGCAGACTGGCAAGAGAGTCGGGACCCAGCTGAGAGAGGATTCCAGGTACGAGGTCGGTGAGCTCCTTGTCGGCACCAGCTCCGTAGACGGCGTAGGTGTTGGAAGCGCCAACGCCGTGGACTAGAGAGGAGAGGGTGGCAGGAGCGTGTCAGCATACATGAAAGTCTCCTCCTTCTTCCCCATATTCGTACGTGCTACCACTTACCCTTTGGCTGCTTGAAGTGCAACACGTTTCCATCTTCCCTGAACATGTTGACCTCCTCGATGCCAGATACGGGCTGCACGTTGAGCTTCTTGAGGGCGGCCTGTAGCTTCTTGTCCTCACCCACGGTTCCCTTCTTGGCCTGAACCTTCCTTCGGGGGGTACCCTTACCACCTAGTAGGGCGTGATAGGGGAGCGCATGTAGCCAAGGCGGAGTAGGGGCAGGGGGGAGTGGGATCGTAGGTGGAGTATACCAGTCAGCGGGGGCCGCTCATCTGTGGCGCTTCTCCTTGTTCATGCTGCTATCATCTGTCCCTGCTACTTGTCTGAGTGGGGAGCCTTGCTGCCGCTCCTCCTCCTCCTCTTATGAGCTACAGCTCTTCTCCTCAGCACTTGACTCTCCACTTCTTCCTCTCATCGTCTTGACGTCTGCTCTGAACATTCTCTCTCGTCTTGTTCATATACACCTCGGGCTCTGCTTTTGACGCCGTCCTCTCTCCCAGCCCCTCCTTTGCTCATCTCCCCCTCGCCAGACTCCTCGCAAGTCCTCGCAAGTCCTTCCTTTCACCAGTGAACCCCCTTGTCCTCTACTCACCCGTTCGGTTGTTGGCGCTGAGTGCCTGTAGCTTAGCGAGCTTAGCCTGATCAAGAGGCATGATGGATACGAGGGTGGGTGAGGGTGGGAGTGGGAGTGTTGGGGGAAGTATGAGAGACAGTCGTCAAAGGTATCACGATCAGAAGTTGATGAGGACGACGATGGTCTTCCTCCTCGCCTCTCCTCGCCCGAGCTGCACCAACTCTTCGCCCCCGCCCTGCCTGCCTGCTGCCCCGACTTGCGCCCGCCTGCCTGCCTTTCCGCCAAAGCCATGTGGCGCGGCGCCGGTGGGTTCGGATCCGAGCGTCTGCGGTGAACAAAATCACAAGAGTGCTATAGGCGCTTTGGATGACATTGGTGAGGTTCAAGCTCATGTGAATGGGAGTAGACGAGGCCTCAGAAGGACATGCCATCGATATCAGCCGGTATGATCAACTCAAGCGGGCCAATGCTAGGATCCATCACGATACGCGTGCGCATGCGCATGTGCAGCTCCACCGAGGTGGGTCCACAAGACATTGCTGCTGTGACCAGACGGGTGAGGGCTGTAACGCCCTGACCGCTGCTCCTGGTGTATAGCTGTTTCAGGCCACCTCGAAGAATCCTCAATTCCAGCGTAGCATGAGAGAGCCTTTCAGTCGGCCTTGCAGGCCTGCGAAATGCGGGAGAAGAGTCAGGTACTCGGGCGAGACTGCTCACCCCAGAAGACGTGGCAGCCAGATACTCCTTTACACTCTGCAATTGGCTGTCTAACTATCCCCATGCCGTCCTTTGCAATACCAAATGACCTCCACCACCTTGCTGATGGGATGGCAGTAGTGGTAGCGTCGGTGAGCTGCCCTGCACCCAGATCCGTGCCCGGATCTTCCTGCCGCGGCTCCACTGCCCCGCTCGAAAATTTGGCCTCTGTCCGCCCGGGAGGCGAGGCGTGGGTGGGTGGGGACTTCCAGGTAGGTAGGTAGCCTGCTCTCGCTGCTCGCATCACTTCCAGCATACCACATAACCCCCCGCATACATCCTCATTCCCAGCCTCGTCTCTGATAGGATAAGATGGCTACTGCGTCTGCGTCTTCTTCGGCGCTGCCTGCACCGCCGCCAGACGCAATGGTAGGAGCCCTGTCCAAGCTTCGCACCCTCCTCAACTCCAAGCTGGAGAACCAAAAGACCCCCGCACAGCTCCTCGTCGCAGTGGAGCAGAGTCTGGACGAGTCTCAACAGGGAGGTAGCGAGGGGGTGACAAAAGAGAGGTCAGCGGGAGAGTACTACCTTGCGTTGGAGTCGATGCTGGAAAAGGCAATGGCAAAGGGGGTGAGTAAAGGAGATGTAAGAGGGGAGCATGCTAGCCGCTTTACCTTGTACTGACAAGCCCTTGTCCGCCTGCCCCTTCTACAGTCGCCTGCCTCGCTCCTCCCCTCGACGTTCTACATTCTCGCCATTGTCGCCCCATATGTCTCTGCGGGCATCCTGCGAGCTCGCCTCTCCACCATACTGCCCGCACTGCTCTTTGTGCTTTCCAACCCCCACCCACCCAGCACCTCGGTTGCAGAATCTCACTCTGCCCTCTTGCGCTCTGCCATGTCCATCTTTCTAGCCGTCCTCACCCCTCTTGCCAAGGACAAGGCCGTCTTCCAAGCTGAACCTCAGCTCAGGGCCTGCTGGGACGCCACGCTCAACCTCTGCGCAGACAGCCGGCCAAAGGTTCGCCGGAGAGCTCAGGAGATTATCACGAAGCTGCTCAGTGGTGGAGACGAGGAGGACGAGGTGGGCATCTACTCTAGCGAAAACCCACACCCGTATGCTGCTAGGACCGCCGAGTGGAACATTCGCACTCTGGCTTCCGTCTCTCAAGCAGGAGGAGTGGTGCCAAAGGCAAAGCCGACTGGCAAGAAGGGAGCTGAGAAGGCTGCCCCGCCGTCAAAGTACGACGTCAAGAAGGGAAGAGCTCAAGGAGCGCCAGAAGCCGCAAAGCAAAGACAAGCCGATGCAGCTGGAGGTGCCAGCATTGGTATCTGGGTCTGTGGCTTCTTAAAGGGCGTCGTTGGCAAGCTGCCAGAAAAGTACATTCCGCAAATTTGCGAGGATCTTTTGCACCTGCCTGCCCTGCAACATCCCTTCCTCACTGTATCCACCTTTGAAGTCTTTGAAGCTCTTTACCGGCCAGCTCGTCTTGTCAGCGGCCCTACCTCGGGTACAGCGGGCTCAGGTGCTGCCCTGGCTGCAGCCATGAGCGGATCTGCCTCGTTAGCAAGCAACCTCAAGGAAGCTCCGACGTCGCTCGTACGGACGCTAGAGGCCATCAACTCGGAAGCTTTGCGCCCAGCAACCACCGACGTCCAACTCCTTCCGCCTTATCTTCGAGCACTCGAGGGCGCAGTCGTGTCGTATGCACGGTATGACGGAGGACAAGCAGCCTGGGCTCTGTTCCCCGCGCTTTGGACACAAGTCGTGGATCTCAGTCTCAATGCCAAGAGCGATGCCAGCAGGACCTCCGTCGGCGTCCGTACGGCAGGTCGCGAAGCGCTCAGCTCCTTTATCCGCTACTGCATCCCCGAGACGGCCATCAAGGAGGCTCTTGCGGGTCAATCTTCTAGCCCTGCTCTGGGCAGTATCATCGAGTCAATCGAGTCTGCTCTGGGTCGCCACGCACTGCGCTTCACCCACTCTCGCGGAGATGTCCTTCAAATTCTGGCAGTGCTCGTAACGAGGCTGCGGGTCAGGCTTGCTGCTGATGGCTCATCGGCAGCTGCAGAGCTCCTCATGCCGCTCATTAGAACCGTTGCAGACTTGCGACAGACGCCCAAGTTTGAGCATCGCGAGCAAGCTGATCTAGTTCTGGGAGCCGCAACGGAAGTCTGCGGACCGGAAGTACTTCTCAAGGAGCTCCCCCTCGGACTATTGGGCGAGGATGGACCTGGCAAAGAGGGTCGAGCTTGGTTGCTGCCTCTGATGCGGGGCCGTATCACGAACACCAAGCTCTCTCACTTTGTCAACGAGATTGTACCCCTCTCCGAGAAGCTCTTCAATGCTCGCGCGGCAGCGGAGAACAGCAAAGGGCGAGCAGTAGAGGCCAAGATGTACGAGGCGCTGATCGATCAACTGTGGGCCCTCTTCCCCGGATACTGCGATTTGCCAGTGGACCTCACTGGTGCTCTGAGCCAGAAGTTCGCCGAGCTCCTCACCAATGTCCTCTACACGCAGCAGTCCCTCCGACCGAGTGTTCTCCGCGGTCTCACTCTCCTCGTCGAGCGCAACGAAGCCCTATCCCGCAGCGGCGCTCCGGACGAAGTGCTGAAGCTCACTTTTGGTCTTACGCAAGCGCAAGGAAAGGCTCACCTGGACCACCTCATCAGCTTGGCTCCCGCCTTCCTCTCCGTCTTCTCGAACCTCCTCACGCAATCGCCTTCCTCTTCTCGCGGCTACATTTCGGAAGTCATTGGGGCTTACCTGCGCATCCTGCCCGCCAACGGGGTCAATGAGACCTTCACCAAGATTCGCGGCATGCTGCAGACGTCGCTCACTGAGCTCGTCCCTCAACGCGATCGGGAAGTGGGACCACATGCTGTCCCGCCCGTGGCACATAGTATGCTGGATCTGCTCATCACTCTCGTGCCTTTCCTCGGCGTAGAGGACGGCAAGTCTCTCCTCGAATTGTGTGAGAGCAACGAGCTTCTACGGAACGAAGATGCTGGAGTGCAAAAGAAGACCTACCGTGTGCTTTCGCGCTTGCTCGATGGTCACAAGGGCGAGGCTCTCCTCCGGTCAGGCAAAGGAACGGCTGTCAATGTCTCTTCTCTGCTCACGAATGTGCGAAAGGCGACCGTGGACGTGGTTCAAGGAGCGAAGCGAGACCGACTCAACCTCCTCGCTGCCATGGTCCCTCGCATTCCCTCTACCGAGCTCCACCTCTTACCTTCGATCATCCCTGAAGCAGTCTTGGCTACCAAGGAAACCAACCAGGGCTCGCGAGAGACGGCGTACGACCTGCTGGTGCAGATGGGTGAGAAGATGGACGGAGGTGGCAAGATTAAGAGGGGTTTCGTCAATGCCGATGCGCAGGACGACAAGGAGGGCGGTGAGGGAGAGGGCGACGACGACACGTCCATCAAGGACGACTCAGAGGTGGCTGCCACGCTGACTGAGTACCTCACCATGGTGGGCGCTGGACTGGCGGGAGGATCCCCACACATGATCTCTGCCTCGATCACGGCCTTCTCCCGTCTCATCTACGAGTTCAAGGATCAAGTCCCACGCGACGTCGTCGACGAAGTCATTTCCACCATTGAAGTCTTCCTCAGCAGTCCCAATCGGGAGATTGTCAAGAGTGTCCTGGGCTTCGTCAAGGTCGCCATTGTCTCCCTGGAGTTTGATCTCGTCAATGCTCACCTCCCCGCCATGGTCCCCGCCATGCTCAAGTGGTCTCCAGAGCACCGTGCCCACTTCAAGGCGAAAGTAAGGCACATCTTTGAACGATTGATGAGGCGCTTTGGTTATGAGCGTATTCTCGAGCTCACAGACGAGGAGAATCGCAAGTTGGTCAACAACATCAAGAAGCGCAAGGAGAGGGCCAAGAGGAAGAAGGCTAGCAGGGAGGGAGAAGAAGACGGTGGCGCGGAGGCGGATGGAGAGGATGCCGTCGCTACTGGTATTGGAGCTCGAGCACCCAAGAAGCTCGGCATGGACGCCTTTGAAGAAGCCCTCTACGGAAGTGAGAGCGAGATCTCAGACAGCGACAGCGATGACGATGGAGCTGGTGGTGGCGTGGGCAACGTTGCTGCCAGTCTCGCTCGCAAGGCAGCTGGTGCGCGAGGAGCGGGAGGCAAGCCCTCCCAATCTCGTGACAGCAAGCCTGCACGTCGTCGTCGTGGCGATGCAGAGGACACCTATCTCCTCGAAGACGACGATGAGCCCATGGATCTGCTGGACCGCTCTGCTTCTGCTGCAGGAAGGATTGTCACTGGCCGTGGAGGTGCACCACCTAACGGAAAGGGAGCTGAGAGGAAGCGTCGCCCGGGTCAAGAGGCTGGCAAGTTCTCCCTAGACGAAGAGACTGGCAGGATGGTCATCGACGACGGCGAGCGTGGGCGTGGTGATGCTGACGATGGTGCCGCTCAGGACCTCGGCGACTTTGGTGCTGCAGGAGCCTACATCGAAGGCGGTCAGGGCGTCGGTGGGCACACGCATTCTGGCCGCGGTGGAGCAGTCAAGTTCAACAAGAACAACAAGCGCACTCGTCAGCAAGACCTCGAGATGGAAGAGGCACTCGTTGCACAGGAAGCTGCTACCGCTGCCGGTGCTGGAAAGAAGGAGAAGCGACCTCGCGTCGAGAGGGAGAAGATTGGGCGGGACTTCAGAGCCAAGAAGGCTCAGGGCGATGTCAAGAAGGATGGACAGGACCCATTCGCCTATGTACCTCTCTCGCAGATTGGTGGGAAGAAGGCAAAGAAGGGTGGAAGAGGTGGAGCGCCAGCGCTTGATATCACTGGCAAAGGTGGAAAGAGGAGGTGATGCAATGGGAGGAGCAGATGGACACGAAGCAGACGATCAGTTCACTACAATTTCAATCTCATCAAAATTATCATTTGCTTAGTCTTCAGACGCTATGCTGGTCGTCGGAAGTGACTATGTCTGATAATGTGTGTGGCTATGGTGACAGGAGAAAAGCAAGAGTAGTAATCATCTTCAGACCTGTGATCGTGACACAAGTAAGATCGAGTGTTGCTCATCAGCGAACATGCGACCGGCTCTCGTAACTGGGTATTTTGGCGTAACTTCGGATCTTGCGCTTGTCCTTTCCGCTTGCAGCATGGAAGCTCAAGTACCTGCCCTACTGCCAGGCGCAACTTTGGCCTAACTCCCGCAACTTCAGCCGTTCTTGCCTCCAGGGCATGTAGCGTCTTTGAAGATCATAGTGATGCATCAATGTGAGAACGTAGAGTCTAGTATGAAAGCTATGCGGATGAAGCTATTTGGATAACACTATACGTATAAAGCACGATGGATGTTTCGCTCTCGCCATCGAAGAACGCGGCGCTTTCCCTCCGGCTACAGATACCCGTTGGCTGTTCAAGGGTGTCCGCTTGGTAAGTCTCGAGCATCGAGAACGAAGAGGCTAGGTATCGCTCTGTGGTCTCTTGGCCAATTCAATTCCCTGCCAATCCGATAAGAGCATCTTTCGGGCGGTCCCTGTCGTAGCAGACGCCAACTTAGATAGCAAAACGTTGGACATCCGTCTTGCGTCACCCTCGTGGGAGCGATATCCCGCTCCCCTCGTGGAAGCGATATCGCACGATCGTACTCTTCGGAGGCTGCCAATCGCGTACACGCAGTCAAGGGTAGTGACGAGCCACACACGCCTGCACGAAGCTTGCACGATGACTCTGCGGTCAATCTCGGTTGGAGGGTTGCGGCAATACCCGGGATTGTCAATCTCGTAGCGCTTACCTCAGTAGCAGCCGTCGTATACATTAGTGGCTTCCACCTCACCACATCGCGGCTGTGAAGAACGCACGTGTCTCGAACACTTCGTGCACCGATGGTCTGCTCGGCGCCAAGAAGTAACACTTCGAAAGGGGTATGGATTGAAAAAGTCGTGACAGGATTTCGGGTGACGAGCTCTGTAGAACAGCAGCTACACGGACGGTGGGGGCCTTCTCATTGTACAATGGTCACCTATCTGGGATCAGAGAAGAGGAGTGACAACGAGAAAGGCAGAATGGGAGGTGATGTAGGAGACGCTCGTATCGATTGAGGGTTTCAGGCGAGGTCGGTAGTCTGAAAGACCGACCCTGGCGGGCCACGTAGGAGGACTGTTGAGATCGATGATGATGGGGGAAAGGGCTCGCAGACTTGTAATCTGTTCGAACCGCGATTAGCGGCGCTTCTTGCTTGAGGCAGAGGCCGACTTCGGGCTCGCCTTAGCGCGGGTTGGCTGGCCCGATTTACCCTCACCTTGCCTTTTTCCAACGACTGGGTTGGTGGAAGGACGACGAGGAGGAGCTGCATTCCCCCCGAGGCTGGGTCTATCATTGCGCTCTCTAGCCTCGTCTACCACATCGAATCGACACATAGCAGAGCGCGCCGCTTGTCCTCTATAGCCCGGCGATTTGGACCCCACCGTGCAACGGTCAAGCTTGCGAACGTCAGCACGGAGTGTCCAGCCACGAGACTCGGACTGGATGTAGATACAGCTGATGGTGTGTACACGTTCTGAGACGACTGGAGACAGCGTGACAGATGACTAAGTCGATGAAGGTGTGCTGCACCATTGTAGCAACAAGAAAGGAACTCTGTTGTCTTCTATGGCGCAAGGTGTGTTGTCATGCATGTATTGGCACATGCTTGGTGTCTGCCTTCTGTCAGTCGTACGTGTCAAAGTGGAAGTGGTCCTTGAGGTCTTCTTGGAGCATGATTACTGTCCGTATGACTCTCCTGCCGCGCGTGTCCACTAGTCGAGTCTGTGTAGGACAGGTGGCTCCAATCTCGTATGTGGGTTGTAAGCATCGTGATTCAGGGCAGGTCGACGGTAGGTTGATTGTGTGGACTTGATGTCCTCGTATGGGTAGTGGAAGCCTACTTTCATAGACAGCGACTGGTAGCTAATATCATGACGGTCGATGTATCATGAGAGGTGCCAAAGTAAGCGACTTGGAGGCATAGCGGGACCTTCTTCGTCGGCTGAGCTCGCTTGATGGCCTTGCGCGTCTGGTCGTTTGCAGTTGACATGGCAGATCAGTGTGTCCTTATGATGAGTCGAGTATAGTCGTGACTGGTTGTAGCTTCGGTGTCGTGAAGCGCTATGTCAGACGAGTCGCATTGGTGTTGAAGGTGAGTCACAGTGTGTGACGGTGTCTGTGGCAAAAAGTAAGGAGTAGATGTACGTGCTCAGCTCCTTGACGCTCATTGCGTCGTTTTAGGTGACACTGGACTCACTATCAGTGTGCTTAGCTACTCGTCAGCCCTTGTTAGTTGGGCAGGTGTCGGTAAGGGTCATCGGTAGTGCTGTCGAATTCCGTAGCTTATCTTGCAATTTGACCGGTAGAGATGGCTCCAGCATCTTGTGAGACCTATGTATGCTGCTGAAAGGCAGGGGGGTTGTGGTGTTGGTGAAGGTCATACTCTCTTGGGGAGTCTACGACGGGGTGAAGCAGTGTGAGTGCGGATGAGTGTGAGTGCAAGTTGCTCTTACTGGCTTCTGCATGCACATCAAGGGCTGTGTTCGCCGTCGACTCACTCTTCTGCTAGCGTTGACACGTCTATCTGGACGAGGTGAGCGTGGGAGACTTGTGTCGAGCGGATGTCGAGTCGATGGCTAGTCTTGGTGGCGACGTGTCTGTTGTGAGATGAGAGGCTGGTGTCATTGACATCGACTCAGCATGTCTGTTGAAGTGAAGGACCAGCCTTGTGTCAGTGGACGCAAAGGCGAATGACAGCAGTGTCTCAGGGTATGCAAACTCACTGCTGCGGCGGTGCTCGATTCTAGCGATGAAGTGGGAGGGTCATGGATGTGAGGAGATGGCATGGTGAACAGAGGAAGGGAAAAGTGGTGAAGACGGACGAAATGTGATGTGATAAAGGAAAAGGGACGAGTGCGCAGCAGGTCCTCGCCCTGAGGCGTGTCAGGGGCACTAATATGCACCCGCCATACGCGCGTGCACAGACATACGCCCTGTCACCATACTGAGTAGCGTAGTCTGCGGAGTCACAGAGCAGTGCATGGTGAGAATCGATATCAATTGTACCCATGAGAGAGATAAAACGTGACAAAAGAAGCAGAACACAACACAAGCGAGGTCCACTCAGCCGAATCGTCAGCTGACTCTCCAGCCCAGCTTACCTCGCTGTCTACCTGCGAACCCCACTCAGATCATCCAAGGGGCAAGACCAACAGTCGAGCCGTAGTTAGCCTGAGCTACTCCTGCAATCTGGAGGATAGCATTGACTACTCCTGCAATTCCTTCACCTGCGACAAGACCGGCGGCGATAGCGTAGGCAAAGATGTCGGCGTTTCCGGGCCATCTCCTAGACCAGACAGAGACGAGAATAGCTCCAGTCGCCATGGAGATACCGTAATTGCAGTTGGGGACGAGGAAGCCAATGCCGATGGCGTTCCAGTTGGGAATGTAGCAATGGTACTTTGCTGGGATCCACTTGTACTTGGCGAAGACGGTCAAGGCAGCCAGGATGGACATGCCAATCGCAGTAAGACCACTGCTCAGAGTTATGGGCAGCTTGGGTGACACTACCGCGACTGCAACAGCTCGCCAAGCGGCAACCGAAGGAGCGGAGAAAGGGCAGACTTCAATGTCGCCATCGTTGATGCAAGGATATGCGGCAACGAAGAGGACATAGAGACCGACGCTGAATGGAGCTGCCCACAAGGAGCCGAACAGTTGAGCCCAGAACTGAGTCTTGGGGGAAGCCCTAAGCCAGTGACCAGTCTTGAGATCGCCTACCATATCGACGGAGTGGGCAGCGGCGGAAGAGGCGATAGAACCACCAATCAAGTTCTGCAGCATGGCGGCGTTGCCAGTGACGCCCTGACCCTTGACGGCTCCACCAATGATGAGCTGAGTGGCCTTGGCAACCGAAGAGAGAGGGTTGATGTCCGTAGTACCGGAGCTTTGAAGGCCAATGAACGAGAGCATGAAGGCCAGCACGATGGCGAGAATGGCGTTGCCCGCGTTCATCTTCAGGGTCAGAGGAAAAGTCGGGAAGAAGGAGATATACAAACACATCAGCATGCCGCAAGATCCATACCCTTCATCAACACCCATACTCACGTCGAATTGTAGAGCGCAGACTAGGACAGTCATGAGAATAGATGCTGCGAGACCACCCCAGATCCAGATGCCTCGAACCTGCTGGCTGGCGGGTGCAGGGTCGGGAATCTCTTCACCAGTCTTCATGTCGTATTCCTTCTTAGTGACTTTGCTGGCGAGCGACAGGACTCCAGCTCGAACACCGTAGTAGATGGGCCTCCAGTTCATGAGCAGCTCCATGAACGAGTAGACAAGCATCATCAGCACGGCGGGCCAGATCATCCAGTATCTTGGTGAGGCCATCTTCAGATCGGCGGGGATGCTCATACTGTAGCAGGTGTAGGCCTCGGGAGGCAGAGTGTCGTCCTCGTACGCGACGCTGTACAGCTTGCATGCAGCCTCTCCTGTACGAGTCAGAACTGGGCCGAGGAAACCCCAAGCAAGGAAGAGACCGCCCAAGAAGGAGAAGGAAGCGTTGTTGCCAGCGATCATTCCTGTACCGAAAAATGCGGGAGTGATAGTAGTGTACCATCCCCAAGAGTCAACGTACTGAGCAGAGCTCCATCCCCAACTTGCGAACCAGTAGAACATGTGCTGGTCCTGAAGGATTCCTGGTAGGAAGCCCTGCAGAACGACGAATGCCAGAGCGCAGATAAAGGCAATCCCCAGAGCCTTGGTCTTCTTGCGAGCAATAGCAGCGCCAGAAGCAGTGTGCATGGCACGAATTGCAAGGGCGGTCGCCGTTGGTGTGGGAAACACTAACTTTTGACGTAATATCACGAAGCGTCGCAAAGGAATAGCGAAGAAGCAAGCGTAGAACGCAGAGCAAAAGGTGAAGGTGAAGAGACGGCCGAAGTCGGCTTGCGGCGAGGAACCCAAGAGGTTCAAGCGGTACATGGCGGGCACTGCCGCGACGAACATCGACGTGAGACCAGCGGCGCCCGTGGCAGCGGACTGAATGGTAACGTTCTCCTTGGGTCCGAAAAAGCCTCCTCCGAGCTTGTTAGGCATCGTTCGAGCGATGGCCTTGATGACAACGAATCCAACAAGGCTTGAGAACTGTGAGGTTGAGATGGGAGGAGTCAGACCGATTGGTTAGTAAAAGATTCTGCCACCGACGAAGCCAATCATGATACTTTCTAGGCTGGCACCAAAAGTGAATCCCGTCTTGAGTCCGAGATAGATGTTGGAAGCAGCGATGACGAGGCCCAGAGCAGTTCCTATGACAAGGGCTCGAACGGTCAAGCCATCTCCGTCTTCGTGCGGGAGGGAGGACTCGGGAAAAGGGACACCGGCAGCCAGATCGGCAGCAGTGAAAGCCTCTTGTCTGTCTTCGGCGTCTTCTGGTTCCTGACTATAAGGTAGATGCTCCTTCTCATCGGCGTCGATGCCCTTTTCGCTGAACTTCTCGGTAGAGATACGCTCGAGGCCGGGCTGACCCTCTGCGTGGACGATGTCGGTGTGCGCTGCTTCGGTGCTGACTCTCGGGTGGAGTCGGGTGGCAGTAGCCACTGCTGGGTCGGCGATGCCGGTGCTATAGTAGTCGTTCCTCTCCATAGTGTAGTTGAAGAAGTGGTGGGTGAGGAGGGGAGGAAGGGAAGGGAATAGATGAGGCCACCTGAGACGGGCTGCTTGCTCGATCTTCGATGCGAGAAAAGGCCTTCTGAGCGGCTCTATATAGCTAAATGACTCAGGTCCTCATTGCCTCGTTGCGAGGCACATTGGAGACGCTTATCTTCACCTTGGTCCTCCCGCTCCAGTGAGTCAGTGAAGGTCAGACCTGAGCGGAACAGCCATTATCTGGCTGGAAAAGGCAATGAAGCACCATATCCTTGATAAGAGTCGGACGACAGGCCCACTGCCTTCCTGGAAGAAGCCATCGACAAGGGCAATCCTGTGTTACTAAGTGCCGACGGCTCTAGTACCGGTCACGGGGTGCTGGTTCCTCATGCGCCTCCTGGTCGCGGCCAGTACGCCGCCGGGAGGCGAATCTTCCGCCTTTCTTCTGCCAAGCTGCGCTCTGACATTTCGGTTGCGCTAGCCGAAGGCTTGGCTGATGGCTTGGCACCGGACTCCGGGGTATTGCAATTAGAGGAATTGGGCAAGATATGGTAGGCAGTATCGCAGCACTGTGTGGAATTGATAACTGGAGGCGGGAAAATATGGCAGGGCGCCCGAGGGAAGCTGCGCGGGATCGTCGGGCACAGACACCGGAGGCGCGTGAGCAGTCAGCTGCACCTCCGCGAGAGGCGCAGAAAAACCCGGCGGGTCCCTGAACTCCGCTATCTGCAGATCACATCCGGAAGTCCCTGACATGCGGTCTGATGCCTGCCACCCAGAACACAGGTGCCAAGGCCCGATGCACCTTTGTCCCGGCCGCTACTCGGTGCTCTACCGTGGCGCTGTACGCAGACGCTCTGCAGGTCTGTGGTGCGCTGGAGGACATACACACCTTCCCATCCTTACCCCAGTGGCATATGCAAAGACCACACAGAGGCAGCGTGCACAAGGTGTGGCGTGACCCACTTAGTAGATTCTCCAATTCACGGACACTCACTTGCCCTGCATGAGCAGACACGATCAGGTCAGCTGCCCTTTTGTCAATATTACTGCACATCGTCTGCCAATCTTTATCAGTCTAGCCCATGGTACACAGAGCTCGTGCTATCGCCTTACTCAATGAGGATAGGAGAGAGACTTACAAGGACTGGAGCCCCAGAGCCCCTTCAACCTTGCAACCGTGGCAGATTCGGGAATCTACTTGTCCTTATCACGTTACCACCACACTCCATCGGATCTTTCGGCTCTCCATCCTCCATCCTCCAATCCTCGAGACGGTGCTTTTTTGAGCTTCGCTACCTTATCTTTGCTGCTTATGGGCCCAGAGCCGATGCCTGTCAGGCACACAGCCGGGCTGAGAACACGCCCTGAGCAAGTTAAACAGCCGCAAGGATCGACAAGCGACTGCGAGATAGGCGGAGGGAATTCAGGCACCAGGAATGGCTGCATACGCTGATCACGGCCCTGATCTGGTGTAGGATTACCTCCATGATGACCTATGTCAAGATAAGCGCCACACCTGCAGGAATTGTCAGCAGGGCTCGGGCAGCCCGCATCCCACCATCGTCTCAAGCATGACAGGGATCGAATGCAGACAACAAAGAAGACCCTAGATCCAGCGAGAAGAGCTTCTTGGAGCGCTACTGGACTCGCGCCTCTTGATGCTCAACCACGTGTCGCTTATCTCCGGCAGCGGCTTTATCAGATTCGCGCGCCCCGCGGGCGGAAGCGCTACCGCGTCCGTTGGATACACACTCTGCTGCGTACATTGGGAACAGTCTGCTGCGTACAATGGGGACACCCTGCTGGATACATTGAAGACAAAGAGAGATGACAATGACGCTACAACCTGTGGACCGATTACATCCCCAGCTTCTGGGCTGTCCTCAGCTTCTTTCCGAACAAGATCAGCCCCACGCAGAGTAGCAGGCCGAAGACCAAGACAATGACCGCTTCGGCGACATTGCCTGTCACCATCATTGACCCGTCTCCCATCGCCCAGCTCTCCAGACCTACCAGCTCGGCAATCCAGAATGGAATTCCGAACGACCATACAGTCTTGAAGAAGTTGTAGACCTGGACAGATGCGATGCCGACCGCAGGCGCTGTGTCGCTGAGGTACGCCTGGATAGCGCCAGTCAAAGAGACGACACCGATGTAGTAGATACCCACTCCAAACACCACGGGCACCCACCAGGCCATGTAATGGCCAAAGCCAAAGCCATAGACCATCAGACCAATAAAGGAGAGGATGACACCCGGGAACAAGTTCCAGATGCGGTGCTCGGGCTGGCGCACACCGCCACTCCTACGAGCCATGAATGCCATCGTCCAATCAGAGCCTACTCCACCCAGGATCTTGCCCAAGAGGGAACCAACCAAAAAGGGGATGTAGCAACATGCGAGGATCATTCCTGAGAAAAGGTATGGCGGCCTGGCCACACTTTGAGGGATCAAGATCGTAAAGCCGACTCCCCAGCCAAAGACGATGGCGCCGTATAGGGCGGGCAGACTCATGGTGACATAGCCCATCAGACGCAGGGGAAGCAGTGCTGCGATGATGAAGCGCTTTGGCTCCTTGAGAGGGTTGTAGAGCATTCCAATCCTTCCAGAGATGGGCGGTCGAGCGGAGCTGCTGTCATCGGTAGCGACATAGAGGGGGTCGCTCTTCTCCTGGTCGTCCTCGATGTTGGAGTTTGGCTTGGCGATGCCGCTGGAGTATTCGCCGTGCTGTGAGCCCATTGCCTCTCGAAGGGCCTCTTGGGAGGGTGGAATGTACATGGTCTCTGGGCAAAGGAAGATGAGCATGATCAAGGCCACGCCGGCAAAGATCAAGTCGACGTAGTAGACGTATTGCCACTTGTGGCTGAGGGTCACTGCTGATCCGATGATGGGGGCGGTAGGGGGACCCAAGGTGAGGAAGAGACTCCAGAGGCCAATGGCGGTTCCTCGCCATTGAGGTCGGTACATCTCAATGATGGATGCGACGGGCAGACACTGCGTTACCGATCCTGCGAATCCGGCAAAGAAGCGGGCTGCGAAGAAGGACTCCAAGGTGGGCGAAAAGGCATTCCAGAAGGTGAAGGCGAGGAAGAGGACCCAGGCGATGAGGTAGGTAGGGCGACGACCGATGGCTCCGGCAAGGGGGTTCCACAAGAAGGCGCCCACTCCGAGACCCAAGATCATCGTTCCGATCGTGCTGCGGGAGCAGACGTGGAGGAGAGAGTGTGTGTGAGCACAACGCGAGCGGGTGCAACGCACCACTCTTCGCTTTTCTCGCTCCACTCACTTTGCGATCTGAGCAACCGTTGCTCCATAGTAGATTGCCATTGGCTCAAAGACGGTCAAGTGGGATCCGGCAACGTAGTTTGCCACAAAGGCCATCCACGAGAGCGTGATGAGAGCACCGTGTCTCTTCCATGCTGGCCAGTGGGTTGGGTGGAGTGGGTCGGCAAACATGTCAAAGGGAATGTCATTCTCACCCGCCTTGTGAACACGAGTGGGAGTCGAAGCAAGTTCTGCAAAGGAGTTCATCGTGGGTAGAGGTTCGGGGGGTGGGGTTGGGTATGCAAGCGGGCGGGATAGCGGAACGTGGACAAGGGAGAAGGCGCGAGGGGCACGAAGGGCACGAAGTGGAGGCGCGCCGGTAGGGGGGGAGTGGATGGATGGGGAGGGGAGAGATGGGATCAAAGAGCAGTTCCTTTCCAAAGACACGACTCGCGGGAGCGCCAACTTTATACTGCCCCCGTCGTCTTCTCTCTCCTCGCCAAGCGCTGACGGCGTCACGAGGCGTAGCAACGCGTATGCAGAGAAAAGAGAGGGATCTGATGCCCTCGGACTGATCGGAGTGCAGTGTCTCGCTTGGAAATCGAGGCACAGAAAAGATGCATTCTTCTAGACTCCGCGTCCCTGTGCACCCAACAAAGTCACTTGTCAGTAGAGGTGAGGTGAGGTAGGCGGGGCTCCACGGCGAGCGAGCTAGGAGAGGCCGATATTATCGTGGCTTGCTCACCCACGCCCGCGGGACCAGTGGGAGGGTGAGTGAGTGGGTGGGTGTTGCTACGTGAGGGCTAGTAGTGAGTCAGGGCTTTTCCCCCCCCTCCTGCCTTGCAATTTTCTCTCTCTCACCCGCGCTAGCCGAACTTTGTGGGGTTCCCCTTACCGAGGTCTGACGAGACGCCGTTGTTGCACCTGGAGAGTGACCAGATGGCTGACCGTCGCAAAAGTGCCCGCGCGCTACGCTCCAAGTTCCAGGCTCAGCCTGCATCTCGGACTGCATCCCTGCGATCGGCCTAGGCCAATCTCAAAGGGGGGAGTTTCAAAAGACGACGACTTACTTACTTACTGTCCGTCCGTCCATGCAAAGCCCCGTAGACGTCCGTCCCTTGCCCGGCGGCAACTGATACGATGCCCGAGGAAAGACTGTCTGCTGCCAAAGTGCGGGGTCGCGGGAGCTCAAATTCAAAAAGAGTCAGATTGCACCCTCGCTCCTCTTGCGCCGTTTCCGCCATTCCAGAGAGCTGAGTAAAAAGGCCAACACTATCACCGCGGCGGATAACGCGGGTCAGCAATCAATCATATACATAGACATCTCACCCTTTTGCGGGGGGGAAAGAGACAGACGCTAGATGCCAAACACCGACTCCGTCAAATCCGGGGTACAGAGACAACACAGGTGCAATTAGCGCCACTGGGGAAGAAGGAGGAATGGGAAAGTAAGAGTGGTAGTGGCAGTGGTAGCGGGAAGCGCAAGCGGTAGCGGGAAGCGGAAACGGTATCGATCGTGCTCGCGCCTCGCGGTCATGTGAGCGATCGCGCTCGACCGCTCCACCGCTCACGCTGTCAGGAAAACGCGGGAGGAGGAATTTGCCACGAGTGTCCGTACGGTCGTCGTGTGCCAGTAGTGTGGTGGCGCATCTGACTGCCTGGTCCAGCCCCCTTTGCTATGTCGTACGGGAATTGAGTTCCGTAAAGGCTGTTCGAAAAGGGGAAAGGAGACGAAAGCTCAAAGGATGGACGACAGACGCAGGCTAGCATGGCTGCCTGGTCACGCCGTATGGATCGTGTCAAAGTATCCCTTGCCGTGTCCTCCGGGAGGCAGTGCTGACATGCTCATCGTTTTCTCGCTGCTGCTGGCGCTGCTCATCTCTCACGTCTTCGAATTGGACAGACTCATGTCATTGTGATGGATGTAAAGAAGGGGAGGGAGAGATACTTCTGACAACACCACTGGCGTGCGTAACGTCACCCGGATATCCCGGCAACATTCGACGTAGTGGGTCCACTTCTGCTTCTTGTGGTCCGTAGATCCTCAGTCGCTCGTCTTACGTAGATCGTCACTTGCTCGTCTTCCGTAGATCCTCAGTCGCTCGTCTCCTTCTCTACATTTCCATCAATCACGTCTCGCCCCACTCACCCTCTCCCTGACCTTCATGTGCAAAGGCCCTACCTGAATGATGAAAAAGTCCTTGACATTCTCCTTGAAAGCCTCTGCGGCCTCGCTGTCCATCTCAAAGTCGAACCTCGTGACGAACCCAGCGAGGACCGAGCGTAATTCCATCCAAGCAAGTCCCTTGCCAACACATCCAGTCGACCCGTAGCCAAAGGGAGCATACGCAGAGAGATTGTGAGGCTGGTAGTCCTCCGGGTTGAGCCATCGTTCAGGGAGCCACTCCATTGGGCGTACAAAGTTGGACGGGTCCCGCTGAACGATTCCAATCGGAACACTGAGGCAGGCACCAGCTGGGACGACTCGATCTCCTGGCAGGCAGACATCCCGAGTCATTGAGCGTGGAGGCCCAGCAGGGATCACAGGCCAGAGACGCAAGGTCTCACGGATGACGGCGTGGAGCAATGGCGTCGCTTCCTCGCGAGCTAGGAGAGATGGGTCTTCGTTGTCGGGCTGAAAGACTTTAGCGAGCTCTTTGCGAAGGTCGGACAAGATGCGTGGGCTCTGCGACAGCTCTACAATCGCAAGACTGAGCACATTGCTGGTAGTGTCGGACCCAGCAATTGTGAGGAGATTAGCGTCCAACAACAGGTCCAACAATTTCGGCTTGGGACGTCGAGCCTTGGTATCATCAGACGACTCCTTTTCGCCAAGGAGATGGCCAAAGACGTCGAGATGGGCTTTGCCTGTCCCTGCACTCGTCTGACCTTGGTGCATTCTCCACTGGACTGCTCGGAGGAGCCAGGCTCGATACTCTCGCATGGGATTGTGAGTCGAGTAGTTGAAGATCATGGCCATGTAAGGGACAGCGCCTGCGGGAGCGATGTAGTGGAGGTTCTCGTGGATCGTCTTGACCATGATGCGGTTAGACTCCGAGTGAAGCAGGTCAAAGGAGCGACCCCAGCCCAGCTCGCCCATGAGGTCAAAGGCATACCAGCCGAGGTACTTGTTGACATCCAAGACGGCGTACTCGTTCCTGCAGGCGCGAGAGGTCCCAGAGAAAGCCGACTTGATGTCCGAGGTGACCAAATCCATGAGCTCTCTAGTCTTTTCGGCCACGGTGCTCTGATATTCTCGCAAGCTTGCCACACTGAAGGCTGGATCCCACTGGCGGCGACGGGCAGCATGTCCGGCTCGTGTGGGCTCACTTTGCAAGCTGTAGGAACCTGGTCCCAGTGAGACGACTGTAGCGGGCAAGGAGGTCAGGCGACGGGGTGGTGGTTCGACTTAGCACGGCCGGATCATCATCACTGTCATACCTCGCTCTACTCGACTCACCTTGGTAGAGAGGGCCCCTGACCGATGTCGCTCCATAGACGAGCGGCAAGAGCTTTCCATCATTGATGCTGACACAATTGGGTCCAATCCTGACCACGCAACCGTATTGCTGATGAAGACGATCGAGCACTTTTGCTCGCGTTCCAAAACGTTCCATGGGTACCCAGGCCCACATGGAAGTCTTGGCGCACCAGGGTCCGGGTAGGCGTCTTAAAGGGTGGAAAAAGTGTCTGTAGACGATGATGGAGGTTGAGAGGGTGGTGACGTAGGCGAACAGCTCAGTGACGGTCAGTGTGAGTGCTTGTATCCAGGTGAGCTCAGCCACAAGGTGGAAGAGCAAGGGAGATGTGCACAAGTAAAGGACGAGGGCAAAGGCGGCGTGGTGGCCGTAGGGCTCCTTGTACTGAACGGCGGCATGGGTGACAAGGGCGAGACATGGTGAGATCAAGGGACGGATCATCGTGGTAGGAGCAGGATGGGTGGTGTGGGGGGAGATGAGGGCGCTACACGATGAGGCGAGCTTGGTATATATCCTCATTCTTCCCCTTCGTCCGCTTCTGTAGATGCATGGTCGGAGAAGGGACGCACGCCCAAGAGGGCAGCCGTGCCTTGTGCCTGACCCCTTGTGCGTATACAGTACCCCGGCGTGATGCCCTTCAGAAGGTTTCAGCCACAAAGCTTGGAAGGACAGACTCATACTCCTCCCTTCACCATGATCTTGTGCCGACCAATCTCCCCCCCCCTTTGTGCCTGAAAATCCAAGATACGACAGCAATCGCTCAGGGCGGGTGGGCCCGGAATTCTAGAGATCCGAGGGCGGACGGAGCTCGACGATGGTCCTTCCGTTCCGATTGCCTTGTCACGCGCGCGAGGGCTGCCACCTCGGGAAGCCTCCCTCCCTCCCTTTGACTCTGCACGGCTCGTATCCATCTCCGGCAATCTGATCGATCTACGAAGCAGCCATGGTCCGATCCGTCACAAATGAGGAGGTAAGTAGGGCGGTAGGACAAGGCGGCGATGATACCACTGGTAGCGATGCTGACCAACTCCCCCTCCCCCTTCCAATGATCGCCCTCCCCTCCCCCCCTCGCAGTTCATCTCCCACCTCACCACCCTCTACAGCGATTCAGCCTCCTCTGGCTCCGTCTACCTCACCTCGAAGCGTCTCACCTATGCGCCTCTTCTAGCAGACCAAAAGGACGCTCAAGGAGACTCGTCCATGGCCTCTACCTCGAGCGCCAGCACCTCCTCCTACCCGCTCCTCTTCCGCCTGACAGACGGCAAGTCCACCCCGTCCAAGGTCGCCCTCTCCACCCAAGTCTCCGCCTCTGCCCTCGCTGGATTTCAAGAGATGCTCAGCTCGACATTGAGGACGTGTCTGAGTGGCTGTCTGAGGAAGAGGGATAAAGCAAAGGAGAGAAAGAGCGACAAGGTCGTTGCTGCAAGGAAGAAGAAGGATGAGGAGCTCGGAGGATGGAAGGGAGTGGCCAAGGTTGGCAAGAGTGAGTAGGAGGGGCATGTGTGTAGGAGGCAAGGTGAAGAGAGAGAATATGCTCACTCCTGTTACTCCTTCTTCCTCTCGTGTCTCTACAGAACGAGGAGCAGGTCATCGGCAACATCAGCGCGCTCAAAAGAGGGCAATGAAGCTGCGCAAGGAGGAAAAGGTCCAGGCGGCAAAGTCAAAGGCGTCAGGAGGGGCATCTTCAGGTGAAGGGGTTGCCGTGGCAAAGGCTGGAGGGGAGGGGACGTCAGCAGCTGGACAAGCACAACAACCAGCGGCAGCAGCAGCGAGTGGAGCAAGCAAGAAGAAGCCAAAGAAAAAGGGAGGAAAGAAGTAGAGGTGTAGAGCAGATGTAGAGGTGTAAAGCAGATGTAGAGGTGTAAAGCAGATGTAGAGGTATCAAGCAGGTGTAGAGGGTTTCGCTGGGCCGTCATGGAGATGCAGGCCTCTGAACCACCATTTCGATGCATCAGCAGTATCACAGAGTGAGCTGCGCACTGTATGAACATGCGCCGAGATGGGACAATGATGAAGCACACTGGTATGAGGAAGTAGACACAAGCACATTCGTAGACTATCTCCTTTGCCTGGCTTGCTCCTCAAGCGTGCCTTGTCCTGGGTCCCACCAAGTCTCCCTCATACCACGTAATGCCTCTCAGGTCTAGCCAAGCCTTGACCTCCTCCGTCAATCGTCCCTTGATCCCCTGCATACTGCTATCCCGGCTCACCAGCGGCTTCCTCTTCCTCGAATCTTTCCGCCTCGCCTTCTTCTGCTTCTTCGTAGGCGACCTGGAAGCAGCAGATTTGCGCTTAGCAGCACCGAGGGCCAGAGGCACATCCGAATCGTCCGACGCAGAACCACTCATCTCCTCCACCGTCTCTTCCTCTGCCTCTGCCTCGGCAAGGACAAAGTCCAGAGGGGTCCTCCCTGCCCCGGCACCTAGGAAAGCAGCCAGATCTCTCTGCACGAGCGACCAGATTTCCTCAAAGGGTATAGGCTCCATAAGGAGGATGCGCTGGTAGAGCTGTTCGTCTTGGGTGATGGAGCGACGGAGAATGGCGGAGTGATGCGGAGTGAGAAGGACGGGCTGTCCGGGTAATGGTAGCGAGCCGAGCTCTTCGTCTTGTGAGGGGTCTGATGTGACGGAGGAGGAAGGGGAGAGGAGGATGTGCATGCCGTCCTCTGCTGCTTCTTGCTGCTGAGCGAGTGAAATGATCAGATCCTCCTCCTCTGAAGCGTCACTCGTCGACTCAAGAACCGCGCTGCTTCTGCGCTCGAGCAGGGCATCCCACACTCTTCTCAAGGTAGCCATCAGTGCGGTCCGATCATTCGAAGAGCGGAATCCCCAAACGCGAACCTCTTCCTGCAGCTCCTCCTTGGGATAAGCGGATAGGGATGGGAGCGGCGCAGAGGAGCTTCCAGTAGCAGTAGGAGGAAGCGCGTCGATGTAGGATGCTAGAAGCGATGCGGGAATGCGGGACCTAGCTGCTGCCTTCTGGGTTGAGCTGGAAGATGGAGCACCAGGCCTTCCAATTGATTGGACTGTCTCTCTGGCCTTTCCCCTCTTGGTTGTGGTACCGTTCAACGTTGCGAGTGTGCCAGACTGGGCCGTCTTCGGCGAGGTCGATCCAGGCGGACTACTATCCCAAGCGTCGAGTTCATCAAGGATGGTCATCTTGGCAGTAGCGGCGGAGGAGAGGTGTCGTAATGAGCCCGGGACATGCCTCGTGAGCAGAGGAGGCAAGAACGCTATCGATGCAGCTCTTGAGAAGCATCTCGCTGCCACTCTCATGCCATTGGTCCAGCTGACAAAGGTGAGTAGAGTATCTCCCTAGCAGCTCACCACGTCTTTGCGGAAGGACTGGGATACCGGAATGAGGGAGGGGTCAAAGTGGAGTCGGACCGGAAGGGGCAACGCGGAAAGGGAGACAGACGCCCAGGCGGGATCCTGGCCCGGAGAGACACCAACTGACCAAAGGCGTATGGATCCTTCTAAGCATCACCCTTTGAGACGCCAGCTTACCTCCTCCAGCTCTTCTGCGACGCTTGCCTGCTTGTCAGGGCTTCTCATCACCTTCTCTGCCCGTAGGACTGCCGGCTGCGGAGCGACGATACAGGCGGCCGGCCTGCGCGATCAGTAGCCCTCATCTCCGTCTCCCACTACCAGCGCCTTCCCGAGACGAGCGACAATGGACGACGACGATGACTGGCAAGAGATGCCCGTCATTGCCAGTGGCAGCGCACCAGCTCATCGGCGCCGCGCTGGAGCTCGCTCCTCCGATGACGACGACGACGACGAGCGAGACTCCAATGATGAGCAGAACTCTCCATCGTCCTCGCGCTACGAGGCATATCACGCCGGGCCATCTTCGTCACGGGTGCCCATGACCGGAGCGCCTCGAGCCTTCAGTCCCACAAGAAGAGGCACAGGTCATCAAAGTACTTCTCAAGGAGCATACCTCCCGAATGCTACTGGCAAGTCTCTCAAGCTCAACGATGCTCGGGGCTACGACTGGAGAGCAAAACCCACCGGCGCTCCGGGAATGCACTCTTCCCGGCGAGCAGATGAGAACGATAGCAGGAGCGGCCCGCAACGGATAGACCAAGACGATGACGACAACAACAACAACGAAGACGACTCGGAAGAAGAGTCGGACGATGAAAAGGGAAAAGGATATACGCAGCTCCGCCTCGATGAAGACGTAGAAGGCGATCAGCTGCACGACGCTACCTCGTACCTCTTCGGAGACTCTGCCTTATCGGCAGCCAAGGACGAATCGTCGATCGGATACTCGCATCAGAGCGAGTCTACAGCGACGCCACTGAGCCAGATGATGACTACAAAGTCGCTGCTGAGTGAGCCGCAGAAGATAGCCTACGTAGGCCTGTGCGCCCTCAAGGCCAAGGAAATGGTAAGGGCGATGACTCGGGTGCCTGGCGCTGCCAAGGACCTCAAGGAGAGTATCAGAAGCATAGAGGAGTGGGAAGTCAAGGTCATGGCTAGGCTGTTCCAACACATGGACATCGATGCAAGTGGTGAGTTGAACATTGTAAGAGCGTAAATGGGAATAGAACCAAGGCACACAGATAAGGGGACACGAGAAGATGAAACCACTAGATACACACCACAAAGGGCTATACTTGACAGGAACTTCTCGCCTAGCTGCGGGGAGATCCAATGCGAGCTGCTCAACCAAAAAGAACGGGTAGCTGAATCGGAGTGGAGGCGCCGCACGTGAGCTTCGAGAAAGGGACTTGTTGATGCTGATCTACGACCTCGTACCCCTCTGACAGAGCAAGCCATGATCAAGTCACTAGGCGACCACGGCGTATTGGCGTCCGACTTGGCCCCGAGTCTCGTCACAACACAGCAAATAGAGAACCCCGACTATGATCCGATAGCCGCTCAGGAAAAGGAAGAAAAGGAAGCTCACGACAAGGAGCAGGCTGAACTCCACAGAGAGGAGCAGGAGGCCGACGATCAAGAGCACACCGAGCCTCAGCCACAGCCCGCGGATGAGGTTGCTGAATCGGATTCCAGCGTAGACGGCAGTACGCAGAGTGTGCCGGGGTCCCCCAGAGACAACGATTCAGGCTCACCCACTCTGGGTGAAGGGTCAACCGGCACTCAGTCCCCCGCGGAAATGTTCACGCCTCGGGCTGAGACCGATCAGGAGCTGCCTGATGTCAATCAGCCTTCCGTCACCAAAGACGTGAACGACACCGAACCACTTGCCGCTGCACCGCTTCGAGCCGATCCCAACACCGCAGCGCAAGCCGAAGCTCTTGATGCGAATGTTGCTGCAACACCAGCACAGCCTTCGACGTTTGGCCTGACTGCAGAACCTCAATCCGTTCAGCCTCTGCCCTCTGCTCTGCCCGGAGTGACGACTGAGCTCTCCACTTCGGACACACACATCACACTCGACCTCCGGTGGACAATTCTCTGCGATTTGTTCCTCGTAATGACGGCCGACTCGGTGTACGATGCTCGATCACGAGTGCTCCTGGAGAGAGTGGCCGAGCAGGTGGGTCTCAGCTGGATGGACGTCACCAAATTCGAAAAGCGTGTGACCGACGCTCTAGAAATCGAAGAGGGCGTGGAGAAGCTCAAGGACAAGAGCGCCATCGCCCGACGCGAGGCCGAAGCCTCGAAGAAGAAGTGGGCAATGATCGGTCTAGCCACCGTAGGTGGTGGCCTGGTCATTGGTCTGTCGGCTGGACTCGCTGCTCCCTTGGTGGGGGCTGGTCTGGCAGGCTTTCTGGGCACTGTCGGCATCGGTGGTACGACGTCGTTCCTAGGTGGAGTGGGAGGCGCCGCCCTCATTACTACCACTGGCGCCGTTGGAGGTGCTGCCGTGGGGGGTCGAGGTATGACAAGACGAACGCAATCCGTCAAGACGTTTGCCTTCAAGCCCATCCACAATAACAAGAGGGTGAATTGCATCGTCACGGTGCCCGGCTTCATGAATGGTGACCAAGATGACGTCAGACTACCCTTCAGCGTAATCGACAGTATCATGGGAGACGTGTTCAGTGTGCTCTGGGAGCCGGAGATGATGAAGGAGATGGGTAACGCCATTTACATCCTCTGGAACGAGACATTGGTCATGGGTGTGCAGCAAGTCTTGGCTGCAACCATTGCAGGAGGGTTACTAGGGGCCTTGGCCTGGCCTCTATGGCTGTCGAAGCTCGGCTACCTCATCGACAATCCTTGGTCCAATGCTACCACTCGAGCAGAAGCGGCGGGCAAGATTCTGGCAGACATCTTGGCACATCGGCAATTGGGAGTTCGACCGATTACGTTGGTTGGATTCTCGCTGGGCGCTAGAGCAATCTTTTACGCCTTGCATGAGCTACACAAGAAGAAGGCATATGGTGTGGTACAGAATGTCTACATTTTCGGTGCCCCCGTCACCGCCAGTGACAAGACCTGGAAAGAAGTCCGGAGCGTCGTATCTGGCAGGTTCGTCAACGGCTTCTCCCGCACCGACTGGATTCTAGGCTACCTCTTCCGTGCTACCTCTGGTGGTCTTCGCTCGATTGCAGGTCTGCATCCAGTGGAGCGGGTCCCCGACATTGAGAATGTCGATGTGACAACGTCCGTGCCTGGCCATCTGCAGTATCGCGCCTTCATGCCGCTGGTCATGAGCGAGGTGGGCTTCAAGGTCACACAGGACTGGTTCGACGAACCAGAAGATCTGAGCAAGATCCCCGACCGTCAGATGGTCCTGGACGATCTTGCTGAGCAAGAAGAAGAGATGAAGAGCGTCAATACCAAGACGGGTGGCTTTGGGCGCATCTTCAGACGGAACAAGGGGACTAGCGATGGATCCGCTCCTGGTACGCCTACTGCCGACGCGTCCAGACCTGGAACGCCAGCGAAAGCACCCACGACCGTTGCTGGTGGTATTGTTGTCCCCAAGAGAGAAGCTGGGACAGGCAGGGAAGAATACGATGAAGGCGATGCGGATGCGGACGATGAAGACGATATGCCACCGAGAGAGGAAGCCGCTAGTGCGAGTGCAGAAGCCCCGCTTCCGCCAAGCGAGCCTGCAGAGGCTGCTGCCACACCGGCCGAAACTACACTTACGCCCCCTGAGGCTGCTGCAACACCTGCAGAGGATCGACCTGCCACGCCCGAGGTAGAATTGCCAGCCAACCGCTCTGCTCACGTCGACACGGATGCCATCCTTGCGGAATTGCGCGAAAGCGGCATAGAAGTCAGGGAACTGCAAAGTTCTCTCCCGGCCTTGTCGCTGGCCTCAGCGCCTTCCTCGCCAGCCGTCAAGGATTCCTCCTTCACCACCAACAGTGCCGATATGGCTACCAACAATGAGCAAGCTGCGAGCGTGGCACCGCTGGCTACCCCTGTCATCCGCGAACCACCTCCTCGGCCATCGCTAAGAAGCAGCATGTCTTCGATCTTTGGCTCGCGCAAAGCCTCGAGCAAAGCACAGACAAGCTCGCAAGCATCATCGAGGGTTGCCACGCCCACTCTGGGCTCGAGAGCCGCGCCTAGCCCTGCACCGGCTGCTGTGGAGATGGAAAAGCCATCCTTGAGTCTGCCTGGAGGTGTGTATGCACAAGGCAGCGCGGCAGCAGCGGCGGCCTCGTCCTCCGCTCGCCACGAGCAGCTGCACCGTCAAGACAGCAACCCGGGCTGGGGAGACTCACCTTCCGAGGCCAGCGCAGCCGAAGCGAGCAATTCTGTGCATGGCGCTGACAGAGGATGGGCAAAGCCGTTCAACTCTTCTGCTGCCTTTGAACGAGACCTGCCTCTGCAGCCACCTGGCTATGCACCCCCTTCAGACGTCAACCTATCCTTTGCAAGCGACTTTGATGACGGGGACGAGGCACCTGGGTCAGAGCAGACTACGGCGGACTCCACCCTTGGCGCTCGCAGCTACGGCCTTTCTGCAGAAGCAGCTCGTGAGCTCGCGCGGCAATTTGGCGCGGGTACAAGTGTCGGCAACGGCGGCGGTACGAGTGGCTCAGCAACCAAGGAGACGTACCCGTCGAGTGACTTTGATGCAGGTGGTTGGGGAGCTCCGCAATCCTTTGCAGGTACCAGCACGGGGGCATCGCCGTACGCTACTGGTGCTGGCAAGTCCAGCAATGCTGCATCGCTGTCTAGTGCGGCCTTCGGTGGCGGGTGGGGTGCGTCACCTGGGGACGAGCAGGTCCCAAGTACTGCGGACATGTCAAGGGAAGGCTCTTTACCGCGGCCATTGGACAGCTTGTATGTTGGCAGTGGACGTGCCAAGGAGGAGGATGTGGATACAGCTGCTGCAAAGGTCAGAACACCGATGACCTTCCAGGAGGCTTCGGAGAACCCCTGGGGATAGTGGAGCGTCACCACGGGCGCGGCCGCGTCATTATCTGTAGTCCTGCATCGATGTCGTCTTAGTGCGAGTGCTGTAATCTATCTCCCTGCTACTGTACTTTTGACCACCTTGCAGTACTATCGCGTGCTCAAGGGTTGTGCTACAGACTAAAGGATCATTCGCCATCTATAAGAACTGAGTCGAGAATACAAGTAGGATCTACAGTAGGGGACCCGAACAAGAGTATGTGGCCGCTTCTCCTGCACAGCCAGGCGAGGGGCGTGCGTCCCTCTCAGTACTTTGAGAAAAAGTCTCTCAGATCGCAGACCATTTCAACGGGCCTCTCCTCGCAAGCAAAATGTCCTCCCTTTTCATGCTCCTTATGCCAAACCACATTCGCTGTGCCCTTGACCCACTCCAGCGGCATTGGGATGAGCTCAAAGGGGAAATCAGAGTAGCCCGTGGGCTGGGAGATGAAAAACTCCCGACGGCCCGCCCACTCGAGTTGACCTCCTGGAGGACGATTGCGGTACGGCCAGATGGAGCGGGCCATAGTTGAGGTGGTGAACCAGAGGGTGAGGATCAAGGCGATTTCTTGTGGCGTAGGGTCGGCGCTGCTCGAGGGAGAGGGGTTGGTGAAGAGAGGCAAGGAGACGAGGTCAGGATCGTCAGATGCAGTGAAAATATGCTCTGAGTCCTGGGATACTTACTCTGTCCATGCGAGATACTTTTCTCCGATCCAAGCAAGGAGGGCGCTAGGACTGGAGTGCATAATCTCGCCCAGGGTACCAGGCCTGGTTCGGTGGAAGTTGGAATAAGCAGACCCAGACGTCTGGAACTCCAGGCCCCTGGCGACTTTTTGCGCATCCTTTTCGGAGAGCTTGTGAGGAAGACCCAGAATATTACTGATGTGCTCTGGCAGGTGTGTCGGGTTGCCACTGGTTGCAAAGTGTCCTGCGGAGACTTTGCGAGGTAGGGAGGCGATGGTGTCGACGAGTGAGGATTTGGACGAAGCGAAATCGACGAGCGTCTTGGGCAGAAGCGAAGGCTGGAGGCGAGGTGGTGGAGATGGCAAGAAGTTAAAGTGGCAGGACAGGACGTTGTTTTTGTGTCGTGCGGCCATCTGTGAAGAGCAAAAGGGTGGACAATCACACGTCAGCGCATCAGGGTCTTGCGTTGCAGAACGACTCCATATTCCACTCACCTCTCGACCGACAAATGTGCCCCAGTCGGTGCCTTGCAACGAGTAACCGCCCTTGCCTTCGCTAGTCTTGCCGAAGCCGAGATCGACCATCAGTTGGTCCAACAAATCGGCCATGTCTGCCACCAAGAGGTCGTCGTCAGGTCCGGTGAAGCGATTGGTACTCTTGCCCGTCGCCTCATCGTAATCGACAGTGGGGGAGCCACTCCACAGATATCCTGGGTGTGACGGCAGGATGCAGTCAAAAGCGGGCGTGCTCAGCGGTACGTCTACGCCCGGGTTTGCGAGCGACTGCGCTACATTGAGGTGCTCAAAGCAAGTCGATGGCCATCCCGAGATGAAGATCAGGGGAATGACTCTCCGCTGAGCACGCGTTGATGCCGAGGGCGAGACGCGGACAAAGTGCAGCCCTGCTTGGGTATTGTAGACGTCCGAAGCCGTCAGCAGATCGGGCAAAGGATAGAGAAAGTGCTGAAGAGAGGAGATTTCCTTCCAGTCACTTGCCCATGTGGGAGTCTGGCTGCTGCCATTGTTCGATGCGGTGAGGTACTCTAGCCAAGACTTTCGCAGATGGAGGAACTTCTCGTGCGTCAAACCAAAGCGAGAGAAGTTGGTGCCTTCAAGTAACGTGGGCAGAGGGAACTTTTCTTCGCGACTGATCTCATGCTTCAAGCAGGAGATGAGGTCATCAATTTGCCGCTTCGAAATGGTAGGAGCGAAGGGTTGGGCGGCCGACGATGGCGCGAATGAACCCTTTTCACCATCGTTACTGGTGAGGGCAGCAGTGTTGACCGGCAGGCCTGTCACAGGAGAGATGGGCAAATCGGTCGAGTCAGCAGAGCCCGCGAGGGGACTCTTGCCGATGACCTTCCAGAAGTCGTCTGTGTGTAGGGCTCGATCGAGGAAACGAGGTGGGAGCTGCTCTGGTGTGGAAGCAAAAGCCCTGGGCAAGGTCTTGACTTGGTACTCTGCCTGGAATTCTTTGACCCATCCTGCGTAGTCGGTCCTGGCGCGACTGGGCAGCTCGCTTGCCAGCTTCCACCAATCATAAGTCTTGCCATCTGTTACGATCCACCGTTTGCCCCACACGCCATCGCTGCTGTTGAGCTGGCTGTAGACGCCCACTACGGCCTGGGCTACGTCTTTGCCGTGGATGAGATGCAGAGAAGTCTTTTCGCGCAGCTTTTCCCGAGTGTCGGCCACCTTGGGCAGCCAATTGAGCGGGTGACGAGAGGAGCCTCCATAGAGGCCGGCGAGGTGCAAGACTGTGACCTGCGCCTTGAGAGTAGATAGCAGACGGGCCTCGGAGGCTGAACGTGGGGATGGGGTATTGAGCGGCGAGGTCGAGGTATGTATGCCAGCTGCGGAAGTGGTGGTGAGCCCAAGAGGGCAGATGTCGTCAGTTTCTCGCGAGCTCTCCAAGGTGACAATCATCTTTCGCCTCCCCCTCACACTTACCTCCCCATGCGCCGGTGGAGCTGAGTATGCACCACTTTGTCTTGCTATCGATTCCCCGTTCGTGGAGCACAGCCTCGTAGTCCACTGCGAGCTCCCTTGCAGCGCCTTCATCCTTGAGTGCCATGACCACCACCACCAGCTTGGCACTGGGGAGTGCCCTGACTGCCTTTCTCCAGCTCAGCCGTGACTCTCCGCCATTGGGACAGGTCCACTTGATGGGCCGCTTGGAGATGGGCAGCGAGTCGTCCTTGACACCGGAGCGATTGGTATAGGCGAATGAGATGTCCTGAGCCTGTAGCTCGGGCAAGAGGAAGGCGCCGGTCCAGCCAGATCCCAGCAAGAGGACATCTACCTCTGTCGAGGATGGGTCGGAAGTGGTGGAGAGGGAGAGGGAGTGGACGGAAGGTGGGCGCGTAGAAGCGCCAGAGGAAGGGATGCGGGACATGGTCAAGGGACCAAGGCTGCGGGTGTGGGTATGAGTGAGTTGTTGTGACCCCCTTGGTGATAGTGCAGTGGTGACTGTAGGGTAATATGGTCTTGGAGGGAGTAGAGTCAGCCAAGCATCCTCTGCTGCGCCAATCGAGTCCTTCGCTGATCTCCCCCGTGTTGCGTGTGAATTGGCGCCTGTGCTTGTCCTGCCTCCACATCCCTCGTTGGCGCTGCCCCGCCCAGCGTTCGATTCCCCGCGTGGTCGTGGGTGGACAGACGCGCGCGCACGCGAAGCACAGACGAGCAACAATTCCCAAAACGAGGCGCCAAGACAGGATGTTCCGATGGACAGGACCAACTCGATACCAACCACCACGTCCTCGCCTTTGTTCACTTCACCGTCGCCACCATGCCACCAAAAGGTACGTAGGCAGCACAGCTACATGTCGTATTGAGTTCACGCACCGAGTAGCTGTGTTGTACTCACATTCTCTTTTTGCTCTCCCTTTTCCCCTCCAGCCAATGGCAGTCTCAAACGACAAGCCTCGACTCGTGCCGCGGCTTCGTCCTCTTCGACAACGACGACGACCAATGGCGGTGGTCCCAGGGCAAAGGTACCACGCACCTCTGTACCACCAACAGCAGCGCGAGCCACCACGCCTCAGCCTCGCGCAACTCGAGCAGCCTCTGCTTTGCCTGGTACACCTTCGAGGCGAAGAGCGGGACCACCCCTCTATACTCCCAAGAAGGGAATCAACCCTCTGCCTCTGCCCCTCAGACCCATCACACAGCAAGACGTCAACAGCAGCTTTCCCGTAAATGGTCCCCCCGTCACTCGCGAGGATGCACCTCCCGCCCCTTCTGCGGACATCCTGCTTCGACAGCTCTTCGTCTTTGGCAATGGAGACATGGGCCAGCACGGACTAGGCACAGACGTCATCGATGAGATCAAGAGGCCTCGGAAGCACGTATGGGTAGACGGCAAGAACGATGCTGGAGCATTGGGCAAAGGCGGCATCGAAGCCATTGCCGCTGGAGGCATGCACACACTCGCAATAGACTCAAATGGAAAGCTCTGGAGTTGGGGAATCAATGACAATGCAGCCCTGGGCAGATTGACCGATCGAGAGGAAGACGTCGAGACGGAAGTGTTTGAGACGGAGCCCATGCCCGTAGAGGGATTGGGCCCAGAGGGTAGGGGAATCCTCTCTGGAAGCAAGCAACTAGGAGGAGGCAAAGAGGGCGAGGTTCAGAAGTTCAGAGCAACCAGAATTGCGGCAGGAGACAGTGTGTCGGTCGCATTGAGCGACGATGGACAGGTTCGCGTATGGGGGTCTTTCAGGGTGAGCATAGCGGAGGTAAATGGGGTTGGTTGAGCATCATTACTCACCCTTTTCGACTGCCCCACTCAACCCTCCAACAGTCCAACGATGGACTTCTCGGCTTCGATGGCCAAGTGGGCTCGTCAAAGACTCAGTTTGTGCCAGTGGCCCTGCCCGCCTTGCTCCCTTACTCCTTTTCCCAAATCACCTGTGGTGACGATCACATCCTCGCTCTCGCTACGACCGGCCAAGTCTTCTCGTGGGGCAACGGTCAGCAGCTGCAGCTCGGTCGTCGCATCATTGAGCGACGCAAGATCAACGGTCTGAACCCCGAAAAGGTTGGACTCAAGGACGTCGTCCTGATTGGCAGTGGAGCTTATCACTCCTTTGCCGTTGACAAAAAGGGCGACGTCTATGGTTGGGGCCTTAATTCCCTCCGACAAGTGGGCATCGAAACAGACGAAGACACAATTCCCACACCTCGCCTCATTCCGTCCCTCAGCCCTTCGAAGCTGAGCCCAACAGGAGACGTCAGGGTCGTGGCCATTACCGCAGGGCAGCATCATTCGCTCTTCCTCCTCTCCGATGGCCGAGTCTTTGGCTGTGGCAGATGCGATGGATGCGAACTCGGTCTCGCAGAAGATCACCCGTCCAAGGTAGAGGTCAAGACGATGAGGGAAGAGTGGAGGGCAAAGAGGACCGAGGAGCTCAAGACTGAAATGCAAGCATGGGAACAGAGGATGAAGCTCAAGCGCGAAGCCAATGGCGGCGATGCAGCAAAGGGCATGGGAGATGCCGTCTCTTCAGACGACCTCCCGCCGACCATGGGTCCTCCTCCCGATGAGTTCGTTCCCCAGCCGGTCCACGTTCCCTTCCCAGGTAACGTCAAGATTGCATCTGTTTCCGCTGGCGCAAGGTTCAACCTTGCTCTAGACACCAACGGCAAGCTCTACTCTTGGGGTTTCGGAAACCAGAGTCAGCTGGGATTGGGAGATGAGGAGAGCGCAGAGGTGCCCACGGAGGTCAAGAGCAAGCAGTGGAAGGGCTACAAGGGTGTCATGTGCGGCGCTGGTGGTCAACACGCCGCCGTCATTGCCGTGCTGGACCCAAAGGCGGAAGGAAGCTGAGCAAGTCTTGTCGGGAAGGAGCAATGAAAGATGCATACTGGGGTCGTCCCTGAGCTAGAGACAAGAACGTACTGTGCGGACCCATCAGATCATCCCTAATGGTCCTCTGTACGGCCTTCGTTCGTCAATCAAAAGACGTACAACGATTCCCAAGCGCTACTTTCGCGCACTGAATTCCTGCCGACCTCGTTCGTATCGTGTTCGTGCAGTGTGCTTCTTGAGGTCTTGCGATGAGGCGCCACGTTCATCAACAGCGTCTGGCCTGCGACTCCCTTGCGCATGACATTTGATCAGAACGATCACATCGCCTCATGAGGTCCGGTCATGAAGGCAACGATGTACAGAGTTGCATTACAGGGAAAGATGCATTACAATGCTCCAATGCTGCAGGAGGGAATCCGACCCTCTATGCTGCCGTGGGCGTTCCTGTTGTCCTCTCGATTCTAGGCGTCGGTGCCAGTGCCCCTTTTCGTGTCCATGTACCCATTGTCGTCAGTGTCTCAGTGCTCGCCTTGACGACTCTCGAAAGGTAAGTATAGCAAAACGATTCGGCATGCAGTAAAAAGCTGCTCAGCTTTCCGAGAGACCCTCCTCATCTGCAACGACTTGCGATCTGACTTCTTGCCCTCTTCCTGGCCTGATGACATTGGGCGATCATCCTTCTTTCCGGTAGGAAAGACGAAGCATGCCGTTGTGCTCGATTGTGTTCTTGTTCGTGGGCCTTGTGTGCGGACCTTTCGCTCTGCCTCGATGTGGCTGGAGCCGATCTGTGTTCAATGGCTACTGGAAGCTTTGCATCAGCTGCCACAACTTCAGAGTTCAGACCAGAGTCCCTGTCTGATCGATGGAAGGGGGAAGATGTGCGAGGTTGGACAAGCCTGCGACGGTTTGCTTGGTGTCTCTACCTCTACCTTCGCCGTGATCGGAAAGACTACGAGCTGTTGCTCGCGGCGTAGTGTGGGAAGCGTGAAGGCAATTGAGATAAGTCACAGGAGGGTGGGGCGGAATGGACCACGGAGTCCGTACCCTCTGCCACGTGCTCCATGCCGCACCCGGCAAGGACTCCGCCACTGAACGGTTGGATCCGATGTCAACGGGTCTGGACCGAACGCCCATGCGACCCTCAAAAGGCAGTAATCCAATGTAAAGATGATGGCCCATGGCTTACACCACCGCTGTCTTCGAACAGGAATGGTGTCACAATCGAAACCGGTTCCCTTTTGGCCATCTCAGCATACTCTCCTTGATTCACTCTCAGCAGCTCCACCGCGATCATCGGCGCGCAGGCAGGGCTCCGAGTAGCTTTACATTGTACGTCAAGAGTGATCAAGAGAAAGGGTCATTCAGGAGACAGACTTCGATGATCGGCAGCATCGATCTGTTGAGCGGTCAGGTCTTATGTCTCAGACCAACGCGCTGGCATCAAGACGCGGCAGCACCACACTGATACATCGGTTGATCATCAGATTTCCGACGGACGTGCGTCAGAGGCACGCTTTGACGTATTCAACACTGAAGAAAAGAGGAGTGCTCTGGTCAAGGTACACCTGCCAGCGGGAAAGAATCGAATGGGAAGGGAAAAGGCCCGAATCTCCTTGACGCTTGGTGGCCCATCCTTTTACGAGGCTCTAGCCAGATTGATTACAAGACCTTTCCAAACTCTGGCGAGTTGAGGTATGCTCTCAGCGATTCGTGCATGCCACTGCGCAGAAACTGGTAAAGGCAAACAGCTTCAGAGTATTGTTTCGCCAACAACGAGACCCTCTAAAACTTGGCACTCACCTTTGTCTGTTCCGTCTCGAGGGTTAGCGACGTCTCACACATGTCCAGCAGTCGATCTGTCTCGTTTCGGTCCAAAGTCCTTCGCATATCAACAGGGAAGTTGGGGGCAAAAGCCTGCCTGAGAGAGCTCTGCGTCATGTAGGGCGTCAAAAGAGTCCTCCAGATCTGCTTCACTTGCGGTCTCTTGGAAGGAAATCTTCGCAGCGATTTCAGAAGTTCAATGATTTGCAGATGGGCGAGTAGCCCAAAGTACTCGAGCTGTGTCCTTTTGGATAGACCAGTTTCCCCTTCGTATTGGCCCATCATTTGGTCGCTCGAGTGCCTGGTTCGTCAGATCAAAAGTTGCGTCAGTCTTAATCGTCTTTGCTCAAGGTACACAAGACTCAAAGACCTTACCAGAACAGGATCGCACTGTTGGGAAACTTGCCCAGAGGAATCGACGCAGCATCTACAGTTTTGTCTGCCCACCCAAGAGTTTTGCCCTCCCTTGCGATCTGCTCTTCAAGCTTGTTAAAGACTGTACAGAAGTCGATGTAACTGGGACGTTTGATGGTCTCACGCTCCAGCTGGGCAGCAAAGTGCGGGGCTGGCAAAGAAGAGGAGGAAGCAACAGCGTTGCCGACTGACGCACGAGAGGCTCTGGCGTTGTCTGCCTTGGCTTTGTCGGCCTTGGCCTTCTTCGCCTTCGAAATTCTCAGCAGTGTTGCCATCTCTTGGTCCTCGCGTTTCTGCTTCTTTGAAGCTTTTCGCTTGCGTTGTGTAGATGGAGTCGGAGACACCGAGCTGGACGGGTGATAATCGTCCGAGGACCAGATTTCGGAACACATGCCTGGAGGGGTTTCGGGAAAGACTTGACTGTCCTCTCCATCGTTACTGCGAGCCGAGTCATACTCCTCGCTGTCGGAAATCTGCCGTGCTTTGCCTAGATTTCGTCTGGGACGGGGGCTTGATTCGTGTTCTTCGTCTTGCTGGTCCCATTCTTCTTGCTGTCCCCATTCTTCTTGCTCTCCCCTTTCTTCTTCCTGTCTGCCTTCTTCCGGCTGTCTGGTTTCTTCAGGGTGTATGCCTTCTGCTGCCGGTTCCTTTTCCCCATTGTCTTGCTCGTGCTCTCCCGCATCTTCTTCTTGCGCTTGAGGAGAATCGCGCGCAGGTACTGTGGGCGTGGCTGCTGAACGAGGGACGGCCCTTGGGTTGACTGATCGAGTCAGGAAGATATTGACATCATCCTGACTCTGTTCTGGAGGGAAAACCAGTCTCAGACCAGGAGCGAGGGGACGTGAAGAAGGCACAGCAGCCTCAGAAGTGGCTTGAGAGGTTGCGATGTCAGGAGACACCACAAAGTCGAGCCGTTCTGTCGCCTCTCCCGGTGGGAGGAAGACATTGACATGCCGCATTAGCCCTGGAGGGGGCATGACAATCTCGACTCTGCCATGGCCAGGCATATACCCTTCGGGCAGTATCAACCCCACCTGTCGGCCGAAAGGTGGAGGATTGCTCATAATCTGAGTGCGATGCGCAATTGGGTATGGTGAGGAAGCAACAAAGCCGGATATTGACTTGTTGCCACGCGTCAATGGCTCAGTCCTGAGCCGCGCCCCGCAGTGTTGCTGCCGCGTCTTCTGCGAGCTTGCCTTCGGGCGCACGAGAGCAGTCAGGACTAGAAGGTGCTTGACGCCCAACGGGAGCAAGCGCAACGTTGCTTCGACAGAGCATAGGGAGACGCCATCGCTGTGGTCACTCGCCATCCTTGATCGTTTGCCAGGAGGTCATCGTTGTCGATTAGACTCTACCTGGTTTGTTTCACTCGGTGCATTCGCAGGCCGACTGCCTCCTCGATTCAGACCTCCTCCGAATATCAAAGCACATCTCTCCCACCTTGTGCCCCCAACGTTGACTCCCTCGACTGCCATGCCCTACCTCTCCTCGCTGCGATAGTGATCCACTCTGGCTCTTTCACGTTCAGCTATCTGCAACGTTCAACGCCCCCCTCCCTCTTCCACCACTTCAGAGCGGCATACTATGCTTGGTGAAGACACCATCTTAAGGACTCCCAGCGGCCCCCGTACTGTCGGATCTCTTGCGACTACCGATGTCATCTACGACGATGACAATCAAGAAGTGGAAGTAGTCGTGAGCCCTCCGCTGCAGATGGACAGTCCGAGCCGCATCTCATTCTATCCCTGGCCACAGTCTGGAGCAAGAGCAGTAGGAGCCCGACTCTTGTCGTATACAGTATCGCAAGATCACGCGCTGCACCTCATCGCCTCCAACGATGTCAATCCAATGCTGACGGACAATCCCAACGGCAAGCCACGTGTTGTCTGGACCACACGATGTCAGCCATATCAAGACTTGGCACAGCAAGTCGGTCAGGAACTTAGCTCCCCCATGGTGTCTCCCCCCTCGTCTCCCACACCCGGAGCCCCTCGTCGCATGCCCACTCGTACGGCACGCTCACAAACAACGGTGGACCCTGCAACTTCGTCAGACCCCGAGAGCGACAGGTCCTTCCATCCGTCTCAAGCTCTCAGCGATCCGTCCCAAGAGCTGAGCTCTGAACCAATGCACAATCACCCATTGACGCCTCATGAGTCTTTGGAGAAAGCGCATCGGAAATTCAGAAGGGACCTTTGCCTCTGCCGCTCGATTCGTAGGACCGGCTTTCTCTGCTCGACGATGGAAGAGGCTGAGCATGTCAAGGAAATGCTTCGTGACCTTCGTGTGGGTCCAACCATGGACACTAACATCGTGCAGGCCTACGACGTTGTCAGCATCACTGCCCAAGAGTGGCACGAGGCACAGCATCAGACACTTCGCCCTGGAGGCTGGATCACGAACCTCAAAATGACAAGGTATTCCTACCAAATGCTGCCAGCCGGAGACGATCGAGATGACCATCTTCCGGTCGATCCCTATTTTGTTGGCCTCTGGTTTGGGGATGGAGGCCACAGGACTCCAACCATTACTGTGAGTGAGCGGGATACTCAAATCATTGAGAGACTACATCGGCTATGCAACAGGCTCAACGACAGTCGACCAGGATGGGCAGCGCCTCTTCAGGTCAAGTTTCGAAGAAAGAAGTTTCAAGAAGACAGCATTATCAAGGAGAATTTTCAGGTGTGGGATTGCGCGATCACGAGTACGGCTTTCAACCGCGACCGACGTTGGTGGAATCCCATTGTGACTGGTCTCCGTCAGTTGGGAGTGTACGCCATGCACAAGACCACCGGCGTCCCTGACCAATACCTAAATGGAAGTGAGCGGACAAGGGCCTCTGTCCTGGCCGGGCTCATCGATTCAGATGGAAGTTGGCATGGGTCCGGCTACATATTCTCGCAGAGTGACGCTCACTTGCCCGTCGTGAACAGCTTCAGGAGCTTGGCGTTGGGGCTAGGCATCCGAGCGCATGAGGTTGTACACTATATGTCACCTGCCCCAGGGAACAAGAACAGGCTGCTGCCGCAATGCAGGATCACGATAGGGGGGCCGAACATCCACAAGTTACAACCCTTCCTGGCACTGCCAAGGAAGAAACAACCACCTCCAAGACGCCAGAATGACTGTGATCTGCGAACAATCAAGGTAGAGCAGGTGGATCAGCACAGTCCTCCTCTCCTGGGACGTGCCATTCGCGCTCGTGCTCCCGCAGACATCCGGGGCATGCTGGTCAGGAGGCAGGTCATCAGAGGTCAACTGGAGGACGGATCGATCGTTGTGGTCTGATGGAATTGTAGCTGTTCGGGTGGTCGCTGATGGCAATGACAATAGTTTTCCTTGTCAGGTGCCGGCGCTGGACCTCACCGACTGCCTATGGACGAAGGGCCGTCACTAATGTGCGTAACGATCAGGTCATCATTGCGCGTTGTTTGATTGCTTGGATGTACCCTGCACCTCTCTCAATCTTGACCACATCACTCCTGCTACCGCCGCTGTTCATACTGAAAGCAAGGCAACCTTCTCCGATTCGAAGTCCATCTGTACCGCTCAGCTCTTGATAGGCGAAGGCCTGTGCACTTTTGATCATCTTTGATCCCGGCCTTCAGTATGAAACCTTCTCTCTCATCCCTCTCGCGGATGAAGCGTGGGTACTCCAAGGTCCCCCTCAACCTCGTCCTGAGCACCTGACTCTTCACCTTTGAGCACACCGTCAAGGTGATAAGCTCTGGCATCCCAAGCGTGCATTGCCCTCTCAACAGCAGAAGAAGACAAGATTCGACGCCCCGAGTATCACCGCGCACACCGCTTCTTTACACGTAACGTAAACTTCGCTATATCTTATTGTGTTGCGAATGGAGACACGGCGCCATTTATGGGTCACAATGCCTGGCTGCGCTGGTCGGCTGTCCAAGAGGTTGCAGCGGCTGATCCTGACGACGGCATCAAGAAGATCTGGGCAGAATGGACGGTATCGGAGGACTTCGAGATGTCCATGCGCCTCTTGATTGCAGGCTACATTACCCGCTGGGCTACATACTCCAAAAACGGCTACCTCGAAGGCGTCTCTCTCACGTGTCAAGACGAGCTCAACAGGTGGCAAAAGTATGCTTTCGGTGTCTCTGAGCTCCTCTTTCACCCGCTCCACCAATGGGTCTATAAGGGTCCTATCACCCCTCTGTGGCGAAGATACATATGGGCGAAGCAGATCCCACTCCACGCCAAGATGGGTTGCTTCTCATACATCTTCTCATACTACGCCATTGCATCTGCCTTCCCGCTTACCATCGCTCTGACCCTCGCGCAAGCTTGGGCAGCTCCTGTGCTTGATCAGGCCTTCTTGGAACCCTTTCAAGTTTGGGTCGCTGTCGTTGTCATCTTCTGCGGTCTAGGTAACTTTGGCTATATGGCTGCCAAGTTCCGAGCCCGGACGCAGTCCTTCCAGCCTATCCTCAAGGATCACATAAAGTGGGCGTTCTTCATGATCACGTTCTTTGGCGGCATTTCCTATCACGTCATGACAGCTCTGTTCGCACACCTCGTGTGCTACAACATGACTTGGGGATCCACACTCAAAGACCTAGAAGACTCCAACTTCTTCAAAGAGATTCCAGCAATCCTCAAGCACAATTGGCAGTTGCTCATCCTCTGCTTCACCGTACTTGCTGGAACGGGCGTCATATTCAGCGACCTCCTCCCCATTGCCTGGCAAGGACATGGGGGCTGGTTTGTCTGGTGGACTCCTGTGCTCCTCTCCGGAGGCCATATCCTCTACCACTTCGTTCTCAATCCCCAGCTTTTACGCTTTTCTTTCTGACGAACGACGTCCCTTCTTCTGAAGGATGTACAGCGACGTCACTTCATCGCCTCCCGGACTCGGCTTCCTTGCTCCTCGTCACGACTGTCATCTTAGATCCCTCATGTCCCGCCTTCTTCTGACAATGCCATAGAGTGCCCCGTGCTACTTCAGATTGTTCGCAGACGTGATAGCTCCTGCAATTGACCCGACGTGGAGAGTGCCAAGCAGATTCTTCTCTTTGATGGCGACTCAGGGAAGACTAGCACAGGGCGGGAAAATCCGACGCGTCAAGCGAAGCATACTGCTTCATTGCAATGTGTCGCTGTAAAGACAAAGGACTGGTTGACCACAGCATAACACCAAAAAGGATGAAGGCTATGAGAATGGACGAATCAAAGTCGATGCGAGAGACAGTAATTGACAATCCGCCAGACGCAGAGTGCAACCGACGGTGCGACAGTGCACACCATGTTGGCGGACTCGGAGACCGCCTTTAATATGACGCAGCCTTTTGTCGCTGCCGGGTCCAAAAACCCGCCTTCTCTGACCGGTTACCCTGGTGTGATCTGGCATGCGCAATGCTGACATAGTTGGGTGACCTTTGAATTTCCAAGTCGCAAAGGACCTCTAGACGGCATCGACAATGGAAGTAGACGGGAGTCCAGACACCGGGTGAATGCGGATTCTCGTCGCCAGGAGTCCGCGGCTGAATTTGACGAGATCGGACCACAACAGAGCCGAACAAGCCATTCAAGGTTCTGTAGCCCCCGGCACATACTCAATGCGCGGCAGTTCAACGTGATTAGGACCCGCAATTACAGAAGGGGTCACTTGAGGGATGCTCGCGAGCGATCGTGGGGGACAGACCCCCCTGGCTGCTCTCGTGCCTTGTGAGCAGATGGCCCAAGAGACCAGGTCGAGATACACGGCGCTGAATAATGAGAAATTGGTCGAAACCTACACGCAGATGTGAAGCCAGGCGTGGATCACTGATCATATTCACAGAAATCTATGGAATGTCCCGCAGTGACTCGCTCGATGTGGGATTGGGACGGCCGTGCCCCGTCAGGGGTGTACTTCTTCTCGTCATTCGAGCTGGTATGACCATCAGTGACAAAAGAGGATCCGAGTGGAGCTTCCAAGTCCTTGCCCCAAAGTATACGCCGTACAAGATCATGCCGCGATAGACCGCAGCTACCTGTATACAGCGGAGGACGAGCCGATAGGGCACACTGGCGAAGATGATATGCCATGCAATGCGACCTTCGGGCCGCTGATGCAAATGAAAGCTGTTGAAAGCCAACGCTGCTAGGAGGCCGATGCCGCTATTGATCGCTATGATCTTGCCGGTCAACGTCGCGTTGTAATAAAGCGTGCACGGAAGCATGAATGGCAGCACCAGCATGAACAGCGTTGCGAGTACGTCTTGCAGACCGAGAACTTTGGCAACAGGCTCTCTCCAGCCAAGGTTCCAGGATGTGAGGAGCCACCATATCTGAGGTCCGAGAGCATAGCAGTGCATGAAGGCCCATCGGGTATAGCGCTGTTTGAAGACGGTCATCTCACCATATCCGCCTCGTATGCCCGCAGCGCTTTCTAAGTCTGATTTCCTAGAAACGTCGGCGCCAGCGACGAGTGTCTTGCTAGTAGACCACAAAAATGCCCATATGGTCCACAATCCATCCGCTCTGGGTCCAAAAAGGTAAGGAGGCGTCTCTGTCGGCACATGGAGCGCACTTGTAAAGTCCACATAATGTCCGCTTTCGCGACACTTTAGTCCGAAGAAGAGGTCCTCGCTGATTTTGAAGCCGGGATGGACTCTAAAGAGATCCGCCAATGTCTGGCGTCTCCAGAGGATGATGGCACCGTGAGGAAAAGTAGCACTGCCCCACTTAGCGCCGAAGCAATGTCGCAATCCACTCAGTCGATACTCAAGATCTTGGAGCTGCTGGATGGCGGTCCCGCAAGACTTATGTGTCCCAACCGAGCGAATTGTGTAGCCAACGCATCCCACCTTCGCATCCCGAAACCGTTTGGTCGCTAGAGTCAAGTTCTCGGGGAGCTCAACATCATCGTCGATGACCATCACATAGTCAAAAGCTGCGATCGAAAGGTGATGAACACCCACAAACTCTGCCCCGATCTTTGAGCCTACGGGAACGAAAATGTAGTTGACGCCGAAGAGAGCAGCCACGTCCGGCGTGCCGTCGGTCGCTTTCTCGGTGTTGCCATTATCTAGAATGAAGATGCTAGAAGCGCGGAAATGGCGCAAAGCTGCGCGTATCGTGTTGGGCAAAGACTTTTCAGCTTTGTAGCATGGGATGAGTAGAGCAGTGTTGTGCTCGAGGTTGCTCTCATGAGGACAGCGTGTCACCTTCGCCGCCAAGGGGTCCACATCTGCAGCTATTGCCCGTGCCGGCGGTTCGAAGCGCCCCAGGACGATCGGGAATCCTACCCAGATGGCGTTGATGATCGAGAATATTAGGTAGCCGACAGGCGCGGTGGCCTGGCGAAAGTGATTCCTGGTCACAAGGATAAGGATTACTGATCGTCAGCGACGCTATTGTAAGCCAGAAGGGAAGTTTGTACCTCACCAAAGCAGGGGAAGAACGCCATACCACACGGGTCTTCCAATGAGGCAAAAGTAAATCATTGCCAGCAACATGCCGTAGTAGAGCAGTCTGACCAAGCGAGGGCGTCGCTTGGAAGACCTGAGAGTCACCTTGTTCTCCATAAGCCGGTGGCAGGGCACAACGTTATTGCACATTCGAATAGTCGTGTGGTCAGCTCGCTGGTGCTTGCAATTGGATTCTGCACTTGTAAGCCTACAGCTCTGCTCAGGTTGTGCACACAAATGGCTATAAGACTGAACCCAGAGGTCTTGTGTCGTTTCGAAAGAGGTGAGGCCCGAAGTGAACGTTGTGTCTGAGCTCATCTTTACAGCTTGGGGTATGGAAAGGTCCGGCCAAAGCGCCCGGGGAGAGATGCTCAAGTCGCTAGGCTTTTGCTTGAGCATGACTTCCCTCCAGTGCCGCGGTGACTGTGCAGCCTCCCTGATGACTTCGGAAGGCCTTCTCATCGCAGTACTACGCAAGAATTTGAGTTGAGTCGTGGGGGCCTTCCTCTTGTATGCTGTGAGGATGAAGTGGTGAAAGAATGCAGCCGCGACAAGCACTTCACCTTCAGACAGCCGTATTTACACAAGTACCAGTCTCGTCTGCGTTGACCGCCAACGTGTGTGCGGTCTGTCGTCATATTCGGATTCCATACTACAAAGGGCTCAAGTGCAGGAGGGCAATGAAAGCGTTGGCCTCCTGGCTGACAAGGTAAGGCTGTATGGGCCGCTGCGACCCGTGAAGTGCGGCCTGTGAAGGTATTCGCACTCCGCCGTGATTCCGATGACCGCCCGTCCCCCAGGGCGGTCACAGCCCATGCAGTACGTCCGTGCACGAGCGTCATATGGCGAGGAATGGGCCTACCTTTCGGCAGCCAGATGGCGTTCACATACGGCTTGCGTCGTGATACATAAGTGAGAATCCTGTTTCATTGCACTGTGGAAGTACTTCATTCCAAAGTATGGACAAATTCAGGCCACATGTGAATCCAGAGGTCAGCTCGCTTGGGTCCAACTTTTCGCACAAAGAAGGTCGGTCTTGAGCTCTTGTACGTTTTAGCATGAGGGCCAAAAAGTCTTCTGGCAATAAGCGAGTTCTGACTCCGACGGAAATAGGGTCAAGAGCTAGCGCCTCCGGCGGTAACGCTTAGCCAAGTCACTACCATAGGGCTTTGTCGCCCTCTTTCAGGGCTCTTGTGCAGCATTGGAAGCTTCGCAACTAGCACCGAAAAGCGGACACTGGGATAGGCGTGACGAGTCGTTCCAAAAGCACTGGAGCGAATGGGTCTTGTCTGCAATGCGCTCGGTCATTCTACCTCAACACTGAGGAGCACCAGCGTGTCCGGCTATCGTACCTGCTGAATTGCATCAGTACCTGATCGTGGGTAGTGCGGCGGAAGTGCCTTGGCGGGGATTCAGACGTGGATTGCGCTGCCAAAGATCTGCTTATAATAGACTACACGATGCAGATGCAACGGCTCGATGCTTCCACCATCCTACATCCTCGTACCCGGCAGCACTCGTGCGCTATCACCTTCCGAGTCTATTAACTTGAGAATTGCTCTCTCAAGACCGGGACATCGACGAGAGCATGCTCAGCGCTTCTAGTACACCATCTAGCGCGGTAGACCACACCGAGTCTGACTGCAGACTAGACACTTTCAATTTCTGTTCAATGGCGTCATGTCAGCGTAGCGATGACTTTGCCGAGAAGCATACTGCCTGCCTTCGGACTGAATCTGTCGCATCGGCGCATGAGCTCAACAGTCTGCCGCCAATGCAAAGACTGCCATCACCGTCAGCTCACTGGCATACTTGTCTTCCTGAGGTCGCGGTGAGTGGAAAACCACCGACCGTATCCGACTTGCGCTGAGCTTGACACGCTTACGTCTCCGTAACCAAATGGATCTTTGCCGCCTTCCAGCGAGGTCATCGAACTGCTGAATGTCTTGTCGTTTTGATAGTAGGTGCAGGTTTTGTGGGGGAACATCTCATCGATTGCTTCTCTCAGGCTTTTCTTACATTTGCTTTGGACCACAACCCGCACCGGTGCTCCCACCTCCGCGCTCGCTACGCGCGCAACGCAAACGTCCACATCATTTCGCACGTTGATGAGGAACAACGATCGAAAGAATTTGATCTATGCCTCATCTCTGTGCCGACCCTACTATTGGCAGATCAAGTATCGGTTGATACCCAGGACATCGTCAGGGCCGTTCGAGATGTCGGCATCCATGCACGTCGTGGCTCCGCCGTGGTGATCGAGTCGAGCGTCAAGGTCGGGACCAGCCGTCAGCTCTTGGAACCTCTGCGAAAGCGGGGAGTCTACGTCGGGTATTCTCCCGAGCGGGTTGATCCTGGACGAACCTACCCGATATTTCGCGACATCCCCAAGCTCGTCGCTGGTATTGACCAGGAATCCCTGGATCAGATCAATAAGTTCTACCAGCGTGTCTTTACAACGACCGTACCTGTACGCTCTTTGGAAACAGCAGAGATGACTAAGCTCTTTGAGAATTGTCAACGGCTGCTGTTGATCAGCTACGTCAATGAGATTGCGGACACCTGTGCCGAGCTAGATATCGACATACATGATGTCTGTGAGGCAGCCAGAACCAAACCATTCGGGTATGTGCCGTTCTTCCCTTCACTGGGGGCTGGCGGGCACTGCATTCCCGTCAATCCATGGTACCTCTTGGCGGACGGCCACAATCTGCCCACGCTTCGACAAGCCGCCCTATCGAATCAGGAACGCCCTTTGCAAAAGGCCAGAGAGATCTTCCAGCTGGCAACGGAAGCAACAGATGAACATCAGCCCTGCATTGAGCCCAAACTCCCGAGGATCCTTGTCTATGGCATTGGCTTCAAAAAAGGTTCTTCGTCTTTGGCATATTCATCAGCCGCACTACTGGCAGACGAGCTCACCTCGATGGGCGCTTGTGTCAAATACTTTGACGAGGCAGTCAACACTGGGCGCTGGCCATCGCTGCGCCGTGCCGACTTGCATGCTCAAGTGACGCGCCCGGATGGCAGTTCCTGCCAATTGCTAGACGCTGAATACGACATTGTGGTCGTGACTCAGTCTCCGGATGCAAGAGACCGAGGGCCGTTACGAGGACTCGAACGCTGCCGTGTCATATACTTCGCTCCTCGATGAACAGCCGCTTCATTGTTCCTTCATGACGAAACCCGAAAGTCTCTTTTGCCGACCGTAGCTTTGCAAGATCACCCCGTCTGTTGTCGCGCACTGTTCCGCCTCTCGCGGGCCGCACAATGGACGCCCGAAATCAGAGTGACATCGACTCGTGCGTCACGCTTCATACTGTATACAGTACAAGTGAGGTGGATTCGATATTGTGACAAAGCTGATAAGACGATTCTGATTCTGGCAGCGTCGGTCTCGTGTGATGGTGATGGTTATCACGGGTTGTAGTTGTACAGTAGGTGGTTGTAGTGGTAGCAGTCCTAGAGTAAGCTCCGAGTACTATTTGTCGTCTTGAACCAAATAGCAGGCAGAGTAGCTGTAAGGACGAGGAGGGGCTTGGGCTGGAACCTGGAGAGCAAAGTGTACGGCAGGTAATCAGCTGGGATGTACTACTATAGGATGATCAGTCTTACTAGTAGAAGCTGGTGGTCGAGGATGATGTAGAGGAGGAGGTAGCGGCGGAGAAGTGGGTGTGTATTGCTCTGAAGAAAGAAAGGAAAGTACAAAGTGGGGGATGCCCGGGGGGCTTCTTATATAGGTCTTCATCTGGGGATTGGATCACGAGAATGAATGAGTCTTGTGAGAGTGAATGAGAGTGATTGAGAGTGATTGAGAGTGATTGAGAGTGATTGAGAGTGATTGAGAGTGATTGAGAGTGAATCATTCTCAACGAGAGTGAACGAGAGTGAATCATTCTCAACGAGAGTGAACGAGAGTGAATCATTCTCAATGAGAGTGACTGAGAGTGAATCATTCTTAATGAGACAGACTGAGAGTGAATCATTCTCAATGAGAGTGTTTGAGAGTGAGCGAGACTTGCGGAGGGTCGGAGTCTGCACGCTCGGCACATCGTTTGCAGCGCTCAGCACGGACTGCAGGGAGGTCGTGAGGAAGCGAGACCTATACGGCTGGAATCCTCTCTTTGAGCATATTCCAGGATACCAGTGTCGCTGGCGGAGGAGGCGTCTTGACGCTGTGGCAGGGCGCCTAAGATTTGTGCGCGTAGAAATGGGCATATCTTGGCACATCATTTGAGACGGCCAGTACGCGCCGTGGGGAAGACCAATCGTCGATCTGAAAGCAGCACTGTGTAGCCCCTTCTGGTTATATTCTATGCTTCGAATTTGACTCTGATTGGGTTTGTCCTGGCCAAGTACCGGGACGCGCCGTCAAGCCACTCCTTTAAGCTCAGTGCACACACACAGGCACAAGCGCGCTCAGGCGCGCACGCGGGCAGGCAGGGTGGAATGGCGGCTCCATTACATCTCGTTTCGCCTTTTACTGTATGGAAAGACAAAGGCGACAGCAGTACTCCGCGTTGCACTCGACTACGTCGATTTGCACTAGCGGTGACTGTTACTGTTACCCCCTTTGCGCTCAAACGAGTCAAGTTTGCACAGTGTGCGTGATTTTGCAGCTGCAGTGAGTAGTTTAATCACGCGATTGCGTGAAAATTACTCCCTGTGCGTACTTTTGCGCAGCAAATGAGTGAGTATTGCAGCCAATAGCGTTAGACTCACTCCAGTGACATGGAATCCTCAGAAGCAGCTGTGCTATGGCTCTGCTGCAACTATTCCACCTCATTTTTACTGCTTTTGCTGCCTTCCTGCTCTCTTTCGCTCCAATTTTCCATGTCGCTTGTTTACAGTGTATCTGCATCATGTTGAATGCCCAAATCCTCCGAGAATTGAGCAGCCTCTGTTCATCTGATTGACTCTGCCATGAAAAGACGCATATTCTGCTTTGTGATGTTGTCCAATCTATTTGTGATGAGATTCGCAAGCGTTCCCTGCGTGTTTAACCACATAGCCTTTCATCAATCCAAGACATCAATTGCAAAAGTTGATGTCAGGTGTATAAGGGGGCTGAAAGATAAATGTGTGGCCGGCATCCTTATACAGTACTTCCTGTAAGAGTTGCTTCATATCCGTTCGCTGCATTGAATAGCTGCATGATCCATGACAATCTGATGTGAAAAGTCCACTTTAGAGAGTCAATGACGCACAAGTGACTCAAAGACTGCTGCATCCGTTGATTCAAAGTGCTGCTGGTGTGCAGTCTCTTGTTCTTGACAGAAACGGCGAGAATGAGCGTCAAGTTTGCCCCCTGGCTTGGCTTTGTTGCAATTGCTCGGTTGCCTTGCTCGCCCCAGCTGTATTGCCTTGCAGTCGCTGGATGATGAAAGCCAGACTCGTCAATATTGAGTGTTGCACAGTATCAATTGTGAGGAGACAGAGCCATTATGCGCATCATGCCTGCCATCTTTGCTTAGTTGCAAGGTACTGTAGTTACTGTACTCCTTTCGTCACTCAATTCTAGCCAGCTCCAGCCAACCTTAGCCGGGTTGCTCAAATTCTTGCCATGACAAACATATTCTGGCAGCATGCATGTCCAATTCTGGCAGGCCTGCTATAGTGCCCTATCTCTGCTAGAGTGTGACTTGGTTTCAAACCCCAGATGGCTAAAGTCCGGGGCAGGTTGCCAGACTTTGCAGAAGCCTGCCACTTTGGATCTCACTTGGCTAGAATTGAGTGACAAAAGGAGTACGCGCCGGTAGATCTCTCTGCACTCGTTCAAGTCTGAACGTGACTTTAGATGCTATAGCGCGCTGCAGAGTTGAGACAGAGACAGTGCCAATGCCGAAATGGCGTGAGAGAAGGTCATTTCGAGCGTCTTTGAGTGTAGACAGTGGCCGACGGAGCCAGTACTGCTGGACGTGACTTACATGGTCGCTGTTTAGCTTGGTGCGGCTTGTGGCGCCTCAAGAGGTCCTCGAAAGCGGTCAACAACGGAGGAGACTGTAGAGATTGGCAGACCTTCATCCTGGACGATGCGCTTGAACGTGGACCTGCTGTTGGGCCTCATTTGTACAGTTTTCTCGCGGCGTTCATCAACGAAACAGTGCGTACAGTATCGTACAGTATTCCAGAAGGCTGCGAATCTGCACTACACAGCTTTTGCACCGACTGTATGGGCACACTTCCCTACTCTCTGAGAAACTTTGCAACCAGCGTGTGATACTGTACAGTCCAGTACACTACAGTAGTATATTACGTGTTTGAGCAATTACGCAAATCCCACTGTACTGTAGTTGAGTGGCCAACGTCAAGATCTGACAGCACTGCAATTTTTCTCGAACAGTGAGCAGGATTCAGCCATGCTCTGTACCTTTAAAAGAAGCCAGGCTACAGTAGGCCTCTTCCCAGGGGCACTTTCAATGGAGCATACAAGACTACACTAGTATCTGACAATGGCTACACTACTGTACAATTGAGGGGTGCGCGTCTACTGGAGCGGCAAACAGCTCCAGTACAGTACACTGGCGGAAGCTCACGTCACTCAACAATGCCGCAAATGCCACGCCTCAACAAGCGACATACAGTAGGTCGAAGTCCGACACTCTGCAGACACAACCCAGAAGCGGCTTGAACGACTTCTCCAGGGCAGAAGTGGGACCCGTACAGTACTACAGTATACAGTACTGTATGTTACACATGCAGTGAGCCTGATCCAATTTTCGGGAGGTCGGCTTACCTGTTGCCCAAAGGTCAGTGCGAGCAAAGTTCAGTGCGATACTGTAGTGTGGCCGTAGAGTCTTTTGTTTGCAGCTGCAGCTTTAAGTTGTGAAGCACGTAACTCTGTCGGCTGCAAAGCTAAAGACTCGACGACCCAGATACTGTACAGTACTCGAGGTCCTCAGAGGGTGAGAGATTGCTCACAACGGTGCTCGGCGCATGGGTCTTGTCAATGACGAAGAGTCCGACAGAGCACCTGCTGTTCGAAATGTTAGACCACAACTAGTCTGTACAGTACATGGTCATCAATCAACTGTCCTACAATCAAGACCTGACATCGACTTGGAGGAGGCAGCACCAATCATCTCCGAGATACTCAGCAGAGTCCCACGTTACTGTATCTTCGCATCTGTCTCGGAACGAAATATTACTATAGATCGCTCGTGACATTAACCATACTTACTGTACAGTAATGAAACACAAGAGTATGTCAAGATAAGTGGGCTCGACTAATCTGATCCAAGAGGGCAAGGCATCGTCAGTCCGAATCCGAGTCTCCAGCGTTGTGTAGTACATGGTGTGAGATAAGCTTGCATTGGCCCAGCTCCTTATGATGTACAGTTCAGACGAGATGTATTCGGACGAGGAGTCGGCATTGTCACTTTGGGCATCGGGCGACTGACACCAGCACTCAGCACTCTATGATGACCAGCACATCTCCAGCCCCGATTATGCTGTGTTGTGTACCGTATCCATGATGGTGCTTCTAGCTAGCATCAGAGGAAAGCGGCACTGTCATTGTATCGTCGTGCTGCGCGCATCGTCATAGGCCAGATTATGGTCGGTCCGGACGGCTGGATTCGTAGGAAGCCAGCTGTTCGAGGCTGTCTTTGGAATCGGCGTACATCCGAACAAGCGCCGCCCTCGAAATCGCAGTCGCTCTTGCGCAACAATCGACAGCCACAGCTTCCGGATCAGAGCTTGTTTGCCAGACTACGGCGACTCGCATCCTGTCACGGCGGCCTCACGAGAACTATGGACAGCTACACTCATACTCCAGAGACCGTGTGCTCCAGCTGGCCGCTTGGCATTTGCTCGCAGCCCCGGCACCTGTGCCATGAGCGAACTCAACAGGAGACAACGATCTCCAGCAGCGGCATCGAATGGCGGCGCAATGGTAGAGTGTAAGCCGTGCGCCGCAACCACAGGGATGACAGAGCGTGGACCCGTTGACTGCACAGTGACCCTCGCAGACGTGGGTATGACCGTTTTGGGCTGTCAAAGCATTTTACTGACGCAGTATATCATCCTGGACACACCCGTCGTCCTGACTTGCTGTGATAGAGGCACCTGACTTAGGGAAACGTTTTTCAATGCAGAACAGGGCTGCGACATCGATGTACTGTAGCGGTAATCATGACATTCATGAGGATGTGCGCGACCACTGTCGGGCGGAAGAGCCTCAGGCTTCGAGCGCACCAGTCGATGTGGCGCAAGATCAGGGACCCCAAAGTTCGCTACATTGATCAGTCAAGACTGCCGGCAATATCGGCGTGCAAACGATATTGGAAAGTTGCTCCTCCCTTTCCTGACAGAATCCTGATCACGAGTCTGCGCCATGCGGAGGCTGGGAGAACTATGTAGCGCAAGCGCCGGGATGATGATGATAGTGTAGCAGCCGAATACTGAAGTGTGAGCTGTAAGAGCCACTCTGTCAGCTGCGTGATAGCGTCTGGTGCGGCTGCCGCTAGCAGGTCCGATAGTAGTCCCTTGTCGTATCGTAGCAGCTGTTCGCCGATAACTGAAAATGCCCCACCGAGCGACTACAGTAGCTAGGTACCGCTATGAGCGATGCCAAAGAATTGCTGCGCTCTCTAAGCGAGAGAAGTTGCTAATCACGTTTGAGTAGGAGGTGAAGATTCGGACGCCTCTTGCTCCTGGGATTGCAGCTGCCGAGACGGCCAGGACAAACATTGCGGGGCAGCAAGGGACTAGTGAGTACTGCTGAGCATGACAGGTCAAGTCTGATCGCCGCAATGGTGTTGCTGTTTCCTTGGCCCTGGCACGATAGCACTGTCAGTCGTTGGTCGCTGAGCGCGGCCAGTGTGGGGTAGACGCGAGATAGCCGAGGTGGAAATGACCGATGGCCGCGTCCGGGCTCCGATGCATGAGTGCGGAAGGGATGCCCGGTGACTCAGCCGTGACTTGCTGAGCGAATTCAGGGGAAGCGGAAAGAGGTGGTGTGGCCACAGGAAGCGTGCGCACGATCATCTTCTTTCTGTACTCATCATCCATTCAGTCAGTGAACATCGCCGTATCTCGGAGGTACGAAGATGGCTTCTTCAGGCCTCGAGAAGGAGCGGCCTGGCCAAGCCACCTTCACACGCAGATCCTCTTCATCTCCCATCTACTTCTACCTCTTTTCTTTCTCTGGAGCATTTCATTGGCGGTCGTTCTATTTGCATCCTCTCGTACAATGGGTGCTGGCCTTCATGATCTCTCTCACAGCCGCGGCGGCCATACCCGGCCTCGACTTGATTTACGGCATCTGGACTCAGGATATCACAGCTGCTGGAGCCTCTTCTCAGTCCATACGTGACGCGTCAAATCGAGCAGGATATATCATGTTTGCCGTTGGATGCTCTCAGCTCTTGCTCTTTTGGATGTCAATGTACCTCTTCATGCTATCCAGTGAAGAGCTGACCAATCGAGTACGGGTGGTTTATGTCTCGTCGGTCCTGGCAAAGAACACTTCGTATTTCGCAGATCATGGGCCAGGCGAGCTGTCCAGCAGGATAGGCACGGATATAGAGGCTGTCCGCGTGGGGCTCGGTGAGAAGATGGCATACGTCGGCCAGTCATTGGGCATCATGGTTGCATCGACTATACTGGGCTTTGTTAGGTCAGCAAGCGTCGCGGGAGTCCTCTTCCCCATCATTCCTCTTGTGTTGGGACTCTTCACACTTTTGGGGATCGCTTCGGAAAAGATTTCATCTCCAGCATCTATCCTAGACGGGCAGGTCGCCACCTATATGGAGCAATTATTGACCGCACCCCGCATTGTACATGCCTTTGACGCAACGCAAACATTGCTACGCAAGCTGGACAGGGCCTTCCTGACCCCTCTTTCAAAGTGGAATAGACGTAGAGCAATGATCCGTGCGGTAGAGCTCTCGGCAGTCTACGTTATCCTGCTGTGGCTCTACGGCGCCTTTTTCGCGTGGGGTGCTCATCAGATCTCCGGCGGCAGCACGACAGTAGGCCCAGCGATCACAGCATTCTGGAGCTTTGTCAACGTCTTTTTCTCCTTGGCTAATCTCGTGCCACATCTCGGCTCGATCATGCAAGCCTTTGCCTCGCTCAAAGCCCTGCGTCACACGATTGAAGAGATTCCAGCAATCGATGCGAGGGATGCAAGCGGCATCCGCATCGCAGACGATGCAGGACGCGCCCCTAGCTTCCGATTTGAAGACGTCACTTACGCATACCCGTCTCGGCCCAGGGTGGCCGCTCTCGACCGAATCAATCTCGAAATCGAAGCCAACAAGGTTACAGCTTTCGTGGGCGCCAGCGGTTCCGGCAAATCAACGATGATGGCTCTGCTGCTCCGGGAGTTTGATCCCGAGCCCCGACTTTTGGGTCAGAGCGGTAAGGCAGGTACGTCGAGTGAGGGGCACTTGGACGTCGAGAAGAAGGCGGACCTGATATGCAATCGCGGCCGCGTCTTTTATGCTGGACATGATCTAAGGGATCTCAACGTCGAAAGCTACAGGTCAGAGATTGGTATCATCTCTCAACATCTGCAGTTGTTTACTGGCAGCGTGCTCGACAATGTCTCTGTCGGCTTGACTCAAGCGCAGTCCGAGATCATTACTGGTGAAGCTCTACGAGTCCGAGCAAAGGCAGCTCTTGTCAAGGCGCAGGCCTGGAACTTTGTGTCAGAGCTGCCTTCTGGCATGGACACTCAGCTCAAGGGGGGCCATTCCAACATGCTCTCTGGCGGACAGAGACAAAGGCTCGCGCTAGCTCGAGGTGAGTAGCAGAACACACGCTGCGTTGCTCGCACTCCCTGTGTTGTATTGACACTTTCGCTGACACGTTTCCCCTACATCGTCTTTGCTGATCAGCTCTCATCCGCGAACCTACAGTGCTCTTCTTGGACGAAGCTACCTCAGCGCTCGACTCCAACACGGAGGAGCAGATCCGGATAGCGCTAGAGGCAGAGCAAGAAATGAGGAGTATGACCTGCTGCATCATAGCTCATCGTTTGAGCACAATTCGCCATGCCGACAAGATCGTAGTCTTCGCTGGAGGCAAGATCGTCGATCAGGGCACGCATGAGCAATTGATGCAGACAGGGCGACGGGATGATACGTACCGGCGGATGGTGATGAGAACTCCCAACAGTCAAGGTCAAGAGGAGGGAACATTTCCCAGCAACGATGAGAATGAGTTGTCTTGCACCTCTTCGCTGCCAAAGGAACGGCCCGGCTCACAGTCTTCCGATACCAGCAAAGCCTCATCCGACCTTGCGGCGATCGGTACCTCGATGGCTGAAGACGGTATGACCCAAAGTGCCAAACCTGTTGCACGCGACGCAATTTCAACGCCCTTGGCCCCTGCACTGCCAGTCTTGACCAAGGGCGCTTGGAAGCAGCTCTGGTCAAAGAGCGCGGACCGGCGCTTGGCTTTGGCAGTGGGCACGATTGCAACCTCCCTCGGAGCCGCCGTCTTTCCAGTGTCCGGCTATGTGACGGGAGAAGGCATAGCCGCGATTTCTTCTTCGGACCTATCATCTGTACGGACGAGAGGATACTTCTGGGCCCTCATCTTCCTTGCCCTCGGCTTTGCTGCCCTGCTCCTGTATACGATGCAAGGATACTTCATCGACGAAGCCTCGTCCTACATATGTACTGTGCTGAAGCGGGATAGTCTAGAGTCCATCCTCGGTCAGAGTATGACTTATTTCGATCTGGCCTCTGCGGCGGAAGAGAAAGCCAATGAACAAGATGACTCGGTGACAGGGAGCGCTGCGAATCTATCTCAGCACCCCAGCAACATTTCAACTGGGATCTCAGTCGCTTTCGGGCAATCCATTCTCTGTCTGGGAAATGTACTTGCGTCGTTTGGTATTGGACTGGGCCTTTCGTGGCAATTGACGTTGGTTGCCTTTGCGCCTCTCTTATTGATACCGCCTCTCAGCTACGCCACGATCACTCGCCTCCAAGGCGCAGAGAAGCACTACACGCACAGGGCAGAGAGATGCTCCACGTATCTGTCCGAGCAGATTGATGGCATCCGGACTGTGATAGCATTGGGTCGTCAGCGCTCGGTCCTCGCCACTTTCGAAGAGAAAGCAAAAGTGAAAGACCGCGTCGCTAGTCGACGGTCCCTGCTTTTGGGCACGCTTGCCTTTGCAGCTGGTCAGAGCTTCATGCTCATTCCAGCTGGTCTGATCTTCTGGTACTCTGGAAGATTGCTCGCCCAAGGGGACATTGGGACAGCTGCAATCTTTGGCGTCTTCGAGGTCCAGATCATTTCCGGATTCGCAATGGCGCGCTTTGTGTCACTTGTCCCTGACATCGCCAGAGCAGCTGCGTCCAGCCGAGTGGTTTTTGGTTGGTTGTCCATGGCGAGGCAAGAAGGGGCTATCAACAGCCGTGAAGCTGTTGTCGCAGAAGACTCCTTTAAGATTGGTGACATTGGCTTCGAGGACGTGATTCTGCACTATCCACAGCGACCAGAATACCCTGCACTGAGGGGCGTCACATTGACGATCAAAAGGGGCAGCACAATCGCACTTGTGGGCACATCGGGAAGCGGCAAGTCGACGCTCTTGTCTTTGCTTTCGGGTTTCTACGAGCCCACATCGGGGCGTGTTCTGCTCGATGGGAAGGATCTGAGGGCTCTTGATGTGAGGAAAGTGCGCAGTCGGTGTGCTCTTGTCTCGCAAGACGCAGTGCTGTTCCAAGGTACGGTGGCCGAGAACATCGCTCTTGGCGCTGTTCGGCCGGAGCAAGCGTCAATCGAGAGCATCCGCTTTGCATGCGAGCAAGCCGGGGTTTTGGACTTTGTGCAGAGCCTTCCAGAAGGCTTCGACAGTGAGATCGGATTGAAAGGACTGGAGCTCAGCGGTGGACAACGACAGAGGCTGTGCATTGCTGTGAGTATTAGGTTCAGACGTCTACTGCTGGTCACTCACTTCTATCCGATATACTGATCTGTCCTCTGCCCTCATACAAACACAGCGGGCCCTCATTCGCTCTCCCGAGGTGCTACTGCTAGACGAGACTACCTCGGCGCTGGACGCAGAGAGCGAGGCCGTTGTCCAGGCTTCCCTCGATCGAGCATCCGAAGGGAGAACCACCATCTTGGTTGCTCATCGTCTATCTACCGTTCGGAATGCCGACTGCATCTACGTCTTCGAAGATGGTAGAGTGGTAGAGTCGGGAACTCATCAGGAACTTTTGCGGGCCAAGGGAAGGTATTTAGAGGTGAGTCAGCCTCCTTCTGGCTGCTCAGAGATGCCTGCGCCAATAGAATGTGTACTGACCTTGTCACTCATCGTCACTTGCCACAACAGCTCATCGAGGCACAATTGTAAATTATTCACGATTCCATCCAGAGCTTGAAGCGTACTGTTGACGAAAATGTGCAGGAAGACGTCTGCAAAATAGTGTCTCACCCACTGCAATCTCATATGCTCCTTTCCCCACCATCCGCGCATCGGAGCGGAAACAAGGCTTGGGCGAGTTGAGCTATGTGCGGCACGGCCGTGAAGTGTTCTGAGAGCACGCCACCACTGGTGTAGGGGTCTGCTGTGACAGATCATTTTACGGCAACTCGAGGCATAGCCCCTCTAGCTAGATATGTGATCGAGTCCACTACGACATCTCCACTGACGATCCTTGTATGAGGCATTTTCGGCTTGACCGCCTTGATAATCTAGCGGAGGCCTTACATGTCACTCGGTGGAGCATCAGCTGCCGCTTCTCACAGCGTCGCTCGTTCTTTGGTGGCGCTGAGGATCGCCTCACAGCGAGCATCGTTATGGCGGAAGGCTCTGGCCAGTGTGGTCTCCTTTCTGTCTCTTCTTTCCTTCTTGTGGTGTTCTGCTTTGTAGTGCAATCCTTCTTCTCTGTGCGTCTCCCCCTCCTGCTGCTGGTCAGCGGTTGTGTAGCGAGGGGGTGGTAAGCCAGTGGTTTGTCCTTCTCCTCTGTGCGTCTCCTGGTCCCCCTCCTG